ATTGGTCAGACCAGCGTTGAATAGACCTTAGCACGGGTACTTCCTGTTGGAGTTTCTGCCTATAGGAAGGGAGGAGCAAAATGGAGTCGTGATCTGATTTGCCGAAGGGTGAGCAGGGGAGGGCCTTGTAGGCATCGCGGAAGGGGGAGTAACAGTGATTGAGCGTTTTAGCAGCGCGAGTACTATAGTCAATGTGTTGATAGAACTTCGGTAGTGTTTTCCTCCAATTTGCTTTGTTAAAATCCCCAGCTACAATAAATGCGGCCTCAGGATATGTGGTTTCCAGTTTGCACAGAGTCCAGTGTAGCTCCTTGAGGGCCGTCGTGGTATCGACTTGAGGGGGAATATACACGGCTGTGACTATAACCGAAGATAATTATCTTGGGAGGTAATACGGACAGCATTTGATTGTGAGGTATTCTAGGTCAGGTGAAAAAAAGGACCTGAGTTTCTGTACGTTATCACAATCACACCATCAGTAGTTAATCATGAAACATACACCCCCACCTTTCTTCTTCCCGGAGAGTTCTTTATTCCTGTCAGCGCAATGTACTGAGAACCCAGCTGGCTGTATGGACGGGGACAGTATATCCGGAGAGAGCCATGATTCCGTGAAACAGAGTATGGTACAGTCCCTGATGTCTCTCTGGAACTTGATCCTCGCCCTGAGCTCGTCTACTTTATTGTCCAGAGACTGAACTTTAGCGAGTAATATACTCGGCAGCGGTGGATGGTGTGTACGCTTCCTGAGTCGGACTAGAAGTCCACTCCGAATACCTCTTCTCTGCCGGCGGCGTCTTGGAGCAGCCTCTTGGATAAGTAAAATTGCCCTGGGGGGTACGAAAAAGTTAGGGAAAGTTGTATTCCTGGTCGTAATGCTGGTGAGTTACCACCGCTCTGATATCCAATAGTTCTTTCCGGCTGTATGTAATAACACAAAAAAACGTTCTGGGCTAATAATGTAAGAAATAACACACAAAAACAAAATATTGCAAAGTTGCTTAGGAGCTAGAAGCAGAGCTGCCATGTCTGTCGGCGCCACCTTGGAAACAGTCCTTGCACATCACTAAGTAATGACCTATGGGAACGTTATCTAAAGTTCTGGGAATGTTTGTTGTTAGCTGGGGACCTACAACAGAATGAACAATACTCCACTGGAGCTGTCAGAGTATCTCATTTTTATGTTGTAGACATTTAGCAGAGCAATTAGGGTTAGGTTTTTGATGCCATTCCATTGGCTCCGTTCCAGCCATTATTATGAGCCGTCCTTCCCTCAACAGCCTCCACTGATTGATAGAGCCTGTAACCAACAGCTATGCATGCACTTTCTTAAGGTGGCTACACAGTGTTGTCCATTTAATATTTTTTCTACATTTTGCTACATTGCCATGGCAGCCAGCTGTGAGGCAATGTTTCCAGGGCAACAGAGGCCCTCACCCCTCCAAACCCCCACAAGCCCGTGTAGACAATCAGGACAGAGATGGAACAAAGAGTCTTACTGCGTGTGCGTGTGCGTGCGTGCTACACACGTGTTCTTGCATACATGCGTGTTTATAGAAGTGTTGGTTAATGGAAGAGACTTGGTTGAGGGTGAAGTCACTCCCGGACTTGACATGCACCACGACAGCATGGAGGAGCAGTGTGTGGGTCCAGAGCAAATCTCATATGGCTATGCTTGTCTTAGAGCGTGTTGTTAAGTCTGTTGACTGAAGCCAAATCAATCTCATCTCCAAATGTTTGAGTATATTTTGATAGCTTGTTGTGTTTGTCGAAGAGGGAGCCAAATCAATCTCATCCGCCTATGTGTGCTTGTCTGTTGGCTTTTCCAGCTTTGAGATATTTAGATTGACGTCAGTGAATTTGATTAGAAAATATAATCTGCATTGGTCAAGATGCTCCATGCATGCACTGCAAGAGTGTAAGCCAGATTGTCACTAGGTAAACTCTCTCCTCAACATGATGATGCTTTTCTTCAGATATTCAAATAGGGGATCAATGGCTTTTTCTTTGCAACTCTACCTAGAAGGTCAGCATCCCGGAGTCGCCTCTTCACTGTTGATGTTGAGACTGGTGTTTTGCGGGGACTATTTAATGAAGCTGCCAGTTGAGGACCTGTGATGCGCCTGTTTCTCAAACTAGACACTCTAATATATTTGTTATCTTGCTCAGTTGTGCACCGGGGCCTCCCACTCCTTTTTATATTCTGGTTAGAGCCAGTTTGCGCTGTTCTGTGGAGGGAGTAGTACACAGCGTTGTACGAGATCTTCAGTTTCTTGGCAATTTCTCGCATGGAATAGCCTTCATTTCTCAGAACAAGAATATACTGACGAGTTTCAGAAGAAAGTTATTTGTTTCTGGCCATTTTGAGCCTGTAATCGAACCCACAATTGCTGATGTTCCAGATACTCAACTAGTCTCAAGAAGGCCAGTTTTAATGCTTCTTTAATCAGCACAACAGTTTTCAGCTGTGCTAACACAATTGCAAAAGGGTTTTCTAATGATCAATTAGCCTTTTAAAATGATAAACTTGCTAATAATGGGCCTCTGTACGCCTATGTAGATTTTCCATTAATAATCAGCTGTTTCCAGCTACAATAGCCATTTACAACATTAACAATGTCTACACTGTATTTCTGATCAATTTGATGTTATTTTAATGGACAAAAATTTTTTATTTTCTTTCGAAAACAAGGACATTTCTAAGTGACCCCAAACTTTTGAACGGTAGTGTACCATCACAGTGCCCATAATTTAATCTTAAACTGAGGCAGCATCCCACAGCAGCAGCCTGCCTTATAACCACCTGTTTATCTATTCTGCTATTTTGTACTTTACTGATCTCTTCTTCCTAAGTATTCATGTGTTTTCTCTGTCTTTTTTGGGGATGGTTCCCAAGCTTTTTGGGAGCATTTTGGCAAGTCCAGGCTGGCCCATTTGTACACATTGAAATGTTTGTGGATCAACTGTCTTTTCTGGATGTTAGTCTTTCTGTAAATCTGATTCAGTGAGAGTAACACGCATCTCTGCTCAATCGCACAGAGGGAGCAGTCCAGTAGGTAGCCATGGAAACCTGAAGTCTCCTCTTTGGTGAAAGCAAGGACATTTTTCATTGTGTGGCATAGTTAAGAGTACAAACACTGATCCTACAGAACTAGAATGAGAGATTATATTTATATGACTGATCCATCCATTACCAATGACTCAATCATGTAATTACAACAGGTGTTACATCACAACCATCCATACAGTGAGGGAAAAAAGTATTTGATCCCCTGCTGATTTTGTACGTTTGCCCACTGACAAAGACATGATCAGTCTATAATTTTAATGGTAGGTTTATTTGAACTGTGAGAGACAGAATAACAACAAATAAAACAGATAAACGCATGTCAAAAATGTTATAAATTGATTTTCATTTTAATGAGGGAAATAAGTATTTGACCCCTCTGCAAAACATGACTTAGTACTTGGTGAAAAACCCTTGTTGGCAATCAGAGGTCAGACGTTTCTTGTAGTTGGCCACCAGGTTTGCAGACATCTCAGGAGGGATTTTGTCCCACTCCTCTTTGCAGATCTTCTCCAAGTCATTAAGGTTTCGAGGCCGACGTTTGGCAACTTGAACCTTCAGCTCCCTCCACAGATTTTCTATGGGATTAAGGTCTGGAGACTGGCTAGGCCACTCCAGGACCTTAATGTGCTTCTTCTTGAACCACTCCTTTGTTGCCTTGGCCGTGAGTTTTGGGTCATTGTCATGCTGGAATACCCATCCACGACCCATTTTCAATGCCCTAGCTGAGGGAAGGAGGTTCTCACCCAAAATTTGACGGTACATGGCCCCGTCCATCGTCCCTTTGATGCGGTGAAGTTGTCCTGTCCCCTTAGCAGAAAAACACCCCCAAAGCATAATGTTTCCACCTCCATGTTTGACGGTGGGGATGGTGTTCTTGGGGTCATAGGCAGCATTCCTCCTCCTCCAAACACGGCGAGTTGAGTTGATGCCAAAGAGCTCAATTTTGGTCTCATCTGACCACAACACCTTCACCCAGTTCTCCTCTGAATCATTCAGATGTTCATTGGCAAACTTCAGACGGGCCTGTATATGTGCTTTTTTGAGCAGGGGGACCTTGCGGGCGCTGCAGGATTTCAGTCCTTCACGGCGTAGTGTGTTACCAATTGTTTTCTTGGTGACTATGGTCCCAGCTGCCTTGAGATCATTGACAAGATCCTCCCGTGTAGTTCTGGGCTGATTCCTCACCGTTCTCATGATCATTGCAACTCCACAAGGTGAGATCTTGCATGGAACCCCAGGCCGAGGGAGATTGACAGTTATTTTGTGTTTCTTCCATTTGCGAATAATCGCACCAACTGTTGTCATCTTCTCACCAAGCTGCTTGGCGATGGTCTTGTAGCCCATTCCAGCCTTGTGTAGGTCTACAATCTTGTCCCTGACATCCTTGGAGAGCTCTTTGGTCTTGGCCATGGTGGAGAGTTTGGAATCTGATTGATTGATTGCTTCTGTGGACAGGTGTCTTTAATACAGGTAACAAGCTGAGATTAGGAGCACTCCCTTTAAGAGTGTGCTCCTAATCTCAGCTCGTTACCTGTATAAAAGACACCTGGGAGCCAGAAATCTTTCTGATTGAGAGGGGGTAAAATACTTATTTCCCTCATTAAAATGCAAATCAATTTATAACATTTTTGACATGCGTTATTCTGGATTTTTTTGTTGTTATTCTGTCTCTCACTGTTCAAATAAACCTACCATTAAAATTATAGACTGATCATTTCTTTGTCAGTGGGCAAACGTACAAAATCAGCAGGGGATCAAATACTTTTTTCCCTCACTGTATATGTAGGGCCTACCTACACTGTGGCGGAGAGTTAAAGAGCTGCATTCAAATGTGGTTTTCAGCACCAACGTATTATGGTCCAGTCATTGTGTACAATTATTTGGTGATTGTTCTTTTCTTTCTACATGTCATGTCTGGTCTTCGTCAGCCCAGTGCTTTGGCCCTGCTGCAGATACTCTGTCTCCTTTCATCTATAAGCTCCGGTCCCCACAGAGGCCCAAAGGTAGAAGCAGATCCCCTGTTCTTCCCTCAGAGACAGGCCTGAGAGAGAGAGCGAGATGAGGTGTTTGGGAGGAAAGACGAAGTCACAAAGTGCATAAAGCAGTAGAGATGGAAAGTGGTTTTAGGCTGAGGGAGGGAATAAGGGAGATGAAGAGGCTGCTATACTGAGATATAACAAACTCTAATTCTGTTCAATTAGATATGCTCCTAATTAATTGGGCTTTGTTTTGTTTTGTGTTGTTTGGGTATGTGGTAGCTGAACAGACTTGACAAGCACCAAACCACAAACCACCAAATCACATAATTTTCCTGTGCTATTCTGTGTCTGGTAGGGTAGGCATGATTCATCTTATTTTTCAAGAGGTTTTTGGGTTTGTTTTGTATATAAAGACCAAGGAAAGAGTAAAGGCAGAGAGGGCCTCAGACAAGGGGGCTTTTTTCACGGCAGACACAATACCTTGAACGACACAAAAGCTTTCAAATCAAACACTGTCATGAAGTCAAATGCCAAGGTAAATGTCAATATCTCTATTCCCAGGAATGCCACAATGCCTGTTTGTTATAAATGCACAGTCTATTGATTCACACCCTCACTTATTTTATCTCTTCGCTCTCCTCTCCAGCTGTCCACCGCTTCCTGAACAGCAGTATGTTGGTGTCTCAGGAGGACAGGGATCTGGAAACCAGTAGCTAGGGAGCAGGAGCTACAGGGCCCATGGTGTCCATCTGCTACTCTGTTCTCCTGTGAGACTGTCTTTGTGTCAGGGATCGAGAGGTGGACACACACACAACCAAGGACTATCTAACAGCAGGACTGCACCACTTTGCAGGGCACTGGAGGGCCACTGGGCAGAAGGTTGGCATCTGGCTGGCAGAGAGAGGGCAGAGAGTGGGTACTGTGGTGGGCAGGTGACCGCAGCGCCGAGATTACAGATTAGGAGATTAGGGAGAGCAGCAGGTCAGGGCACATCATCCTGACAAAGCCTGCACTTCCACCAACACTACACAGCAGAATTCAATTAAACCCTACAGCTACTGGCAGGCAGTGGCCCAGCCTCACATACACATACACTCATACACAAATATACAAAGAATCTCCACTGCTGGACAGCTGCTGAGCTCCCCTTCTCTCCTTTCCTGTTTGATGATCAGCGCCAGATGGAGTGATGGGATTTTTTTCTTTTGATTGATTTGTCTTTTTTTAATCCAGTCACTCATTGCCTCACAGTTCCTTTGAGGGCATTCATTGGTAAGTCGTTTTAAGGTTGTCATATCTACTTTTCTTAAGACTCTGTGGCAATCCCCTTTGTCATTACGGTCAGAATGCTTTGACCGTAATATTATATATTATTATTATATTACTTTAGGAGGTTTTACAGGACTGCTTTTTCTCTGGCTGAAGAGCACTGGAATTCTGATGGTCACGCAGACTTTTTGAGGCTACACTGCAGTGAATATTTGAGAACTAGACTACACGACACCTGACCCTATGTTCTAGAGGAGAAGAACACAAGGTCCTGAGTAGCTCTGCTCTTTCTACAAGTCTCAGAATCTCAGAATTGGATCTTCTTACAGAAAAAATAAAGCTTGCGCGAGACAGGGGCAGAGAAGTGAGAGGAGAGGGGGAGACGTGTTATTTGTTCAGGTTGACTAGAGACTCGATAGAGCTTCTTTCATGCCAGCCTGCCTGCAGTCGCCGCCTTATTTTACCCTCCTTCTCCCGTCTAGCCCGCTAGAGCATACTAATCAGAAGACTGCTTCAGCACTTCACAGAGGACCTCCTAACACCAGGGCGGGCTACTCACATGGACGGCTGAGATTACATTAATGACTCACTACCTGACTTTTACCATGGATATCACTATAGGTGGATATGACTGCTAACACAGCGTTATAAGCTCTGACAGTTTCTCAGAATCTAGCAGTGTACAATTTGTGCAGAGTTCGTCAGAGTTTTGTATGTGCAGACACTCTGGAGCTCTGCTGGAGCTCCCATCCAGGACTGGAGCAGTGCTGTGAGTGGACAGCCGGGGCTGGGTGGGTGATAGGTGTGAAGAGCGGCAGCTGCGTGCAGAGAGACTGAGAGCGGGGGGAAGCAACAGACACAGACTCTCAGACAAACTGTTTAGTGTGAGACACTGAGAGACTCACTGTGGAGCAGCGGCTCTCCCTCTCTCTGTCTGTCGGGCTGGGAGAGTGTTCTCTCTGAGCCAGCCAGCACACTGAGTGGAGCTGAGGCCAGCAGGTTGGGGACGGTGGCAGGAAACAGCGCATGGTATTGGGGGGGCCGGGTGCCCTACGTCACCCAGCACCGGGAGGGGCACTGGGGTTGGGGCTGGATGTGGGGAAGCCCTGGGGGGGCAAGGGTCCAGAGGTCAGGGGAGCTGAGGCCCTTGTTAACAGGCGGGGCCAGTGTGGAGCGGGGTGGTTGGACGGCAGGGGCCAGGGCCGGTGGAGGAGGCATGCGGTGCTCACTGAGGGTGTGGGTTCTGCTGGGCTCCCTGGGCCTCGTCTTTCTCACCTCCCTCTTCTTCTCCATCTCCCTGAGGGGGGGTGTTGGCCTGCCCTACCTGGAGCCCCCCGGGTGGGAGGAGTCCCGCCGAGTCAAACTTGTGCCCAACTACGCTGGTGCCCACCAGCTGGGCTCACTGGAGGGCACCCAGCAGCAGAAGACATGTGCCTGCTCCCGCTGTGTGGGGGACCCTGGGGTGTCTGAATGGTTTGATGAGAACTACGACCCGGACATCTCCCCTGTGTGGACACGGGACAACATCCAGCTGCCTTCAGACGTCTACTACTGGTGGGTGGTAAGTGATCCAGCTGAACAGCTTCTATGTTTTATTCAATTTTACCCGTCCTCTATCGTTCTTCTGGTCTCCCTGGAAAGAATGAGAGCAGCTCTGCCAATCATATTAAAGGAAGGCAAGCACATGTTCGGTCTGTTAAAGAGGACATTGAGTAATGTCTGAAAACTGAAATTAACAATTCAGACAGAGCTGGAAAAATAGCCCCTGTAATTCTGTTTGAATTACAGACAGGAAAGCACGCCTAGGTGATTACGTAGCTAAAAGAGGTTGTTATTTTTAATAGACACGAACACTAAAGTAGAAGAGGTGTGAGAGAAAGAGGCTGACCTGTGAGAAGTAGCATTTAGAAAACTAAGTTAGTTTGTGTTTGGTCAGAAGTTTAGCTTATTTAGTGTCACGTCCTTGAGTTTCTGGCCTGGCTTTATATATGCTGAACAAAAATATAAACTCAACATGTAAAGTGTTGGTCCCATTTTTCATGAGCTGAAATAAAAGATCCCATATGCACTAAAAGCTTATTTCTCTCAAATGTTGTGCACAAATTTGTTTACATCCATGTTAGAGAGCATTTCTCCTTTGCCAATATAATCCATCCACCTGACAGGTGTGGCATATCAAGAAACTAATTAAACAGCACGATCATTACACAGGTGCAGCTTGTACTGGGGACAATAAAAGGCCACTCTAAAATGTGCAGTTTTGTCACACAACACAATCCCACAGATGTCTCAAGTTTTGAGGGAGCGTACGATTGGCATGCTGACTGCAGGAATGTCCACCAGAGCTATTGCCAGAAAATGTAATGTTAATTTCTCTACCATAAATCGTCTCCAACGTTGTTTTAGAGAATTTGGCAGTACGTCCAACTGGCCTCACAACTGCAGACCACGTGTAACTGGCCAGTCATGTGAAATCCATAGATTATGGCCTAATTTATTTGTTTCAATTGACTTATTTCCTTATATGAACTGTAACTCAGTAAAATCGTTTAAATTGTTGCATGTTGCGTTTATATTTTTGTTCAGTATATATCCCACTAGATAATTAGGTGAGATTGCAAACAGAGGCAGACATGCCAGTGCCAAGCCACTAAGTGGTGTAAAGTAAATGAGCTGGTAAAAGGATGAGATTAGAGAGAGGAGGAGCTAATGAGGTAGGTGCACGGGAGAGGCGAAAGAGGGCATAGATTAGGGTTAATGCATCTCTCTTAGAGTTAAGTCAAGAGTCTGCACTTTTGAGTTGGTTAGAAGATATTGTTTTAGGAACATACAGTGCATTCGGAAAGTATTCAGACCGCTTGACTTTTTCCACGTTTTGTAACGTTACAACCTTATTCTAAAATTGATTAATAAATCTAAATACAATACCCCATAATGACAAAGCAAAAACAGCTTTTTATAAATGTATGCAAATGTTAAAAAAACAAAAACAGAAATACCTTATTTACATAAGTATTCAGACCCTTTGCTATGAGACTCGAAATTGAGCTCAGGTGCATCCTGTTTCCATTGATCATCCTTGAGATGTTTCTACAACTTGATTGGAGTCCACCTGTGGTGAATTCAATTGATTGGACATGATTTGGAAAGGCACACACCTGTCTATATAAGGTCCCACAGTTGGCAGTGCATGTCATAGCAAAAAACAAGCCACAAGGTCGAAGGAATTGTCCATAGAGCTCCGAGACAGGATTGTGTCGAGGCACAGATCTGGGGAAGGGTATCAAAAAATATCTGCAGCATTGAAGGTCCCCAAGAGCACAGTGGCCTTCATCCTTCTTAAATGGAAGAAGTTTGGAAACACCAAGACTCTTCCTAGAGCTGGCCACTCGGCCAAGCTGAGCAATCGGGGGAGAAGGGCCTTGGTAAGGGAGGTGACCAAGAACCCGATGGTCACTCTGACAGAGCTCAATAGTTCCTCTGTGGAGATGGGAGAACCTTCTAGAAAGACAACCATCTCTGCAGCACTCCACCAGTCAGGCCTTTATGGTAGAGTGGCCAGACGGAAGCCATTCCTCAGTAAAAGGCACATGACAGCCCGCTTGGAGTTTGCCAAAAGGCACCTAAAGGACTCTCAGACCATGAGAAATAAGATTTTCTACGGTGAAGCATGGTGGTGGCAGCATCATGCTGTGGGGATGTTTTTCAGCGGCAGGGACTGGGAGACTAGTCAGGATCAAGGGAAAGATGAACGGAGCAAAGTACAGAGAGATCCTTGATTAAAATCTGCTCCAGAGCGTTCAGGACCTCAGACTGGGGCGAAGGTTCACCTTCCAACAGGACAACAACCCTAAGCACACAGCCAAGACAAGGCAGGAGTGGCTTCGGGACAAGTCTCTGAATGTCCTTGAGTGGCCCAGCAAGAGCCCGGACATGAACCCGATCGTACATCTCTGGAGAGACCTGAAAATAGCTGTGCAGCGACGCTCCCCATCCAACCTGACAGAGCTTGAGAGGATCTGCAGAGAAGAATGGGAGAAACTCCCCAAATACAGGTGTGCCAAGCTTGTAGCGTCATACCCAAGAAGACTCGAAGCTGTAATCGCTGCCAAAGGTGCTTCAACAAAGTACTGAGTATAGGGTCTGAATACTGATGTAAATGTAATATTTCAGTTTTAATTTTTTATAAATTAGCAAACATTTCAAAAAACCTATTTTTGCTTTGTCTGTATGGGGTATTGTGTAGATTGAGGGGGATAAAACAATGTAATCTATTTTAGAATAAGGCTGAAACCTAACAAAATTTGGAAAAACTCAAGGGGTCTGCTTATACAGTACCATTCAAAGGTTTGGACACACCTACTCATTCAAGGGTTTTTCTTTATTTGTACTATTTTCTACATTGTAGAATAATAGTGAAGACATCAAAACTATGAAATAACACATACGGAATCATGTAGTAACCAAAAAAGTGTTAAACAAATCAAAATATATTTTATATTTGAGATTCTTCAAATAGCCACCCTTTGCCTTTATGACAGCTTTGCACAATCTTGGCATTCTCTCAACCAGCTTCATGAGGAATGCTTTTCCAACAGTCTTGAAGGAGTTCCCACATATGCTAAGCACTTGTTGGCTGCTTTTCCTTCACTCTGCTATCCGACTCATCCCAAACCATCTCAATTGGGTTGAGATCGGGGGATTGTGGAGGCCAGGTCATCTGATACAGCACTCCATCACGCTCCTTCTTGATAAAATAGCCCTTACACAGCCTGGAGGTGTGTTGGGTCATTGTCCTGTTGAAAAACAAATGATAGTCCCACTAAGCCCAAACCAGATGGGATGGCGTATCGCTGCAGAATGCTGTGGTAGCCATGCTGGTTAAGTGTGCCTTGAATTCGAAATAAATCACAGACAGTGTCACTAGCAAAGCACCCCCACCATAACACCTCCTCCGCCATGCTTTACGGTGGGAAATACATATGCGGAGATCATCCGTTCACCCACACCGCGTCTCACAAAGACACAGCGGTTGGAACCACAAATCTCCAATTTGGACTCCATACCTGTTATGATGAGTTTCTAGGGTATCAAGTGATTACGAATGTAAGGATGTACTTAGACACTTTTGATGGGGATTTAATATAAGATATTTAATATGGTACCATGGTTAGTTATCGCAGACAAAGGACATAGCCCTGCCTCTGCCATCTTCCAACTCCATAACAAAGATCCACTCTCTATATATATATACACTCTGTTACAAGTCTCTCCACGAACATCTGGTAAACCTCCATGGGCACTCCCTTTCTTTGATGTTATTACCCTTTACCCCTGTCACTATATCACTATATCAATTACAATTACTCTGGCACCCCAATTGTGGAACAATGGTGGAACAAGCTCCCTCACGACGCCAGGACAGCGGAGTCACTCACCACCTTCCGGAGACACTTGAAACCCCACCTCTTTAAGGAATAACTTGGATAGGATAAAGTAATCCTTCTACCCCCCCTTACCCCACCCCCCCCCAAAAAAAAATAAATAATATTGTAAAGTGGTTGTCCCACTGGCTATCATAAGGTGAATGCACCAATTTGTAAGTCGCTCTGGATGAGAGCGTCTGCTAAATGACGAAAATGTAAATGTAAATGTATTCCAAGATCAACATCAGTAATCTACTCTGACATAAGGAATGCAGACTCCGTGGCACCAAACCACTTATCTACTAACTCTCCCCTGGTCCACACAATACTATGACATGACATCATTACAATACCAAAGGACAAATTTCCACCGGTCTGATGTCCATTGCTCGTGTTTAAGAAGGAAAGAAATTCCACAAATTAACTTTTAAGAAGGCACACCTGTTAATTGAAATGCATTCCAGGTGACTACCTCATGAAGCTGGTTGAGAGAATGCCAAGAATGTGCAAATTCTGTCATCATGGCTATTTGAAGAATCTCAAATATAAATATATTTTGATTTGTTTAACACTTTTTTGGTTACTACATGATTCCATATAAAAATTAAGAAAGACCCTTGAATGAGTAGGTGTGTCCAAACTTTTGACTGGTAGTGTATATTCCTGGCATAAGGTAGAGGTGGTAGAGCAATGAAGAGCATGTCATAGTTTCTCTACAATGGAGCCTGAGAGGAGCAGAGCTGGAGTGGAGCAGAGCAGTAAATACACTGTTTGGCAGCAGTGGTGTCCACTGAACATCTGCCAAGAATTAGTGACCCTGCAGAAAGCCGCTGTGCCAAGCGCTGGTATTGAGGAGGGGGAGGAAGCAAGAGAGATAGAGGAAAGGAGAGAGAGGGAGCAATGGGGAGAGAAAGAGAGTGAGACAGTGAGAGGGGTCATGCATGGGAAACTGAGAATTGGGGAGGGGGTGGCACGGGGGAGAATCTGGAGAAAGAGAGAGAGAGTGCTGTGTGTGAGAGAGAGAGTGCTGTGTGAGAGCGAGAGCTGTGCGAGCGAGAGCTGAGTGAGAGAGAGAGAGAGAGAGAGAGAAAGAGAGAGAGAGAGCTGTGTGAGAGAGAGAGGTATTTGAAAGGTGTGCCAATAGCCTGATGGTTCTGTTTTGTTTGGGGGTTGGGAGGTTCGCATGTGCTCCGATAGCATTGAAAAACAGACTCAGTTTCACCTTCAATGTTTATTTTTTGGACATCTCTCCCTCCAATTCCCCCTAAAACATCTGACCTCTTTTCACCTCCATTTAAACATTTTGTTTATTTTCTCTTTTTCATGAGTCACTACTACACATCCCCCTCTGCCCTCTTTTGACATCCTGTCGGAGGAATGAGAGAAAGAGAGGAGAGTATCCTTTTCTACCCTCAAAACGACTAGTGCCTCCTCTCCTCAGCCTGTCTGCCTCAGGAGCTGGCCTGTCCTCCCCTATAAGTCTATGGTACTCTCCCAGTCCCCCTGCCTGCTCTCCTGACTGTGTGGCCTCTTTGTCGCCCCCTGCCTGTAGATGCTGCAGCCTCAGTTCAAGCCGCACGCTATCCAGCAGGTGCTGCTGCGACTGTTCCAGGTGCTCCCAGGCCGCTCCCCCTATGGCTCCTGGGACCCCGCCCGCTGCCTGCGCTGTGCCGTGGTGGGGAACTCTGGCAACCTGCGCGGGGCCGGATACGGGCCAACCATTGACGGCCACAACTACATCATGAGGTGAGGGAGGGAGAGGGGTTGGTGGGAGAGGGGGTTAGAACATGTTAGGTTAATCTGTTTAGTAGCTGGTAAGTTCTATTATGTGTTGTGCTATAATGCTACTGTAGGTTATTTACAGTTATTGTATCTCTACAGAACATAATAATAATAATAATATGCCATTTAGCAGACGCTTTTATCCAAAGCGACTTACAGTCATGCGTGCATACATTTTTTGTGTATGGGTGGTCCCGGGGATCGAACCCACTACCTTGGTGTTACAAGCGCCGTGCTCTACCAGCTGAGCTACAGAGGACCACAACATAGTGTACTATTACAGTTGGTGGGGTAGGGGTGGGAGGAGTAATGACCTCAACAATGGGTTTTGCTGATGTCTTGAATTAGTTTTTATAAAACCTTTATTTTATACTCAAGTATTAACACAAATAATGGCACACTGTGCCTTTTCAGAAATTAAACAACAAATGTGTCATTCCTAAATAAAAATGTAAACATACAAATAAATTAAATAAAAATACAAAAAGCATATAAACTCATCAAAAAAAGAAACGTCCCTTTTTCAGGACCCTGTCTTTCAAAGATAATTCGTAAAAATCCAAATAACTTCACAGATCTTCATTGTAAAGGGTTTAAACACAGTTTCCCATGCTTGTTCAATGAACCATAAACAATTAATGAACATGCACCTGTGGAATGGTCGTTAAGACTAACAGCCTACAGACGGTAGGCAATTAAGGTCACAGTTATGAAAACGTAGGACACTAAAGAGGCCTTTCTACTGACTCTGAAAAACACCAAAAGAAAGATGCCCAGGGTCCCTGCTCATCTGCGTGAACGTGCCTTAGGCATGCTGCAAGGAGGCATGAGGACTGCAGATGTGGCCAGGACAATAAATTGCAATGTCCGTACTGTGAGACGTCTAAGACAGCTCTACAGGGGGACAGGACGGACAGCTGATCGTCTTCGCAGTGGCTATTAAGCATAACCCACTCTTCTTGTGACTATTAAGCATAACCCACTCTTCTGCTGACAGAGCCTTCCTGCAGCTTCCCAGCAGTTGTCCGACAATCCTTTCCGACCTCACCCCCAAATGTTCAGCCACCCGTCCTCCATCCATTAAGGTGGGCCCAGCCATAGCCATTAACTGTTTTAGGGTGATGATTTTGTGGAACAGCTGCAGTTGTACAATCCAGTCTTGCCCCATACACCAGAGGTTCCTCCAGCAGCCAATGCACTGACTCCGCTGAAGTGTGTCTGGACACCTTCATTATGCTCCAAACCCTAAGAAGGCCTCTGTAAAAAGGAGGTACTCCCTCCCTAGAGATCTGGCTACTATCAACCAAAAATAAAGCCTTCTTTAAACCTAATCCCGCGACCTGCTGTAATACAAGACCTGCCATCCCTCTCCAAACCACATTTTCCAGTCAATAAAGCAACCTTTAAATAAACTGAAACCGGAAAGCAGCAGCCCTACTAGCAAGATGTACAATACCTTGTCCCCCCTCCTCTTTTGACAAATACAAACACTTTGTGGAACCCAATGATGTTTATCCCAAAATAAATCTACAATAATCGGCTGTATCTTAGCGAGAAGGCCAGATGGTAGCTCTAAAACTGACAACCGATGCCACAGTGCAGAGGCAACCACATTGTTAAGAATAATAGTGCGCCCCCTGTATGACATACAAGATAACAACCAATGCCATATCCTCATCCTCCCTTCCACAATTTCAACCACCCCATTCCATTTTTTTCCCATAGTCCCCTCACTTCCTAGGTACACTCCAAGATACTTAAAACCTCCCGTACACCATCCTAGTCCCCCTGGCAAAGCCATGATCCCTCCAGACCGTTTTCCAATCTGTAAAGCACAACATTTTTCCCAATTTACCTTTGCAGTGGATATTCCCCTTAACCGATCAACCAAGAGACTCAAACTATCCACCTCTGCTTGATTTTTCACTAAAATAACTACATCATCAGCATAGGCTGAGAGACGAATAGGAGGAATATCCTCTGAAAGGTACACCCCTTCAATGCGACTTCTAATGCTATTTAGTAGTGGCTCTATAGCGATGGCATACAGTGGGGGGAAAAAGTATTTAGTCAGCCACCAATTGTGCAAGTTCTCCCACTTAAAAAGATGAGAGAGGCCTGTAATTTTCATCATAGGTACATGTCAACTATGTCAGACAAATTGAGGAAGAAAAATCCAGAAAATCACATTGTAGGATTTTTAATGAATTTATTTGCAAAATATGGTGGAAAATAATTATTTGGTCACCTACAAACAAGCAAGATTTCTGGCTCTCACAGACCTGTAACTTCTTCTTTAAGAGGCTCCTCTGTCCTCCACTCGTTACCTGTATTAATGGCACCTGTTTGAACTTGTTATCAGTATAAAAGACACCTGTCCACAACATCAAACAGTCACACTCCAAACTCCACTATGGCCAAGACCAAAGAACTGTCAAAGGACACCAGAAACAAAATTGTAGACCTGCACCAGGCTGGGAAGACTGAATCTGCAATAGGTAAGCAGCTTGGTTTGAAGAAATCAACTGTGGGAGCAATTATTAGGAAATGGAAGACATACAAGACCACTGATAATCTCCCTCGATCTGGGGCTCCACACAAGATCTCACCCCGTGGGGTCAAAATGATCACAAGAACGGTGAGCAAAAATCCCAGAACCACACGGGGGTCCTAGTGAATGACCTGCAGAGAGCTGGGACCAAAGTAACAAAGCCTACCATCAGTAACACACTATGCCGCCAGGGACTCAAATCCTGCAGTGCTAGACGTGTCCCCCTGCTTAAGCCAGTACATGTCCAGGCCCGTCTGAAGTTTGCTAGAGTGCATTTGGATGATCCAGAAGAGGATTGGGTAGAATGTCATATGGTCAGATGAAACCAAAATATAACTTTTTGGTAAAAACTCAACTCGTCGTGTTTGGAGGACAAAGAATGCTGAGTTGCATCCAAAGAACACCATACCTACTGTGAAGCATGGGGGTGGAAACATCATGCTTTGGGGCTGTTTTTCTGCAAAGGGACCAGGACAACTGATCCGTGTAAAGGAAAGAATGAATGGGGCCATGTATCGTGAGATTTTGAGTGAAAACCTCCTTCCATCAGCAAGGGCATTGAAGATGAAACGTGGCTGGGTCTTTCAGCATGACAATGATCCCAAACACACCGCCCGGGCAACGAAGGAGTGGCTTCGTAAGAAGCATTTCAAGGTCCTGGAGTGGCCTAGCCAGTCTCCAGATCTCCACCCCATAGAAGATCTTTGGAGGGAGTTGAAAGTCTGTGTTGCCCAGCGACAGCCCCAAAACATCACTGCTCTAGAGGAGATCTGCATGGAGGAATGGGCCAAAATACCAGCAACAGTGTGTGAAAACCTTGTGAAGACTTACAGAAAACGTTTGACCTGTGTCATTGCCAACAAAGGGTATATAACAAAGTATTGAGAAACTTTTGTTATTGACCAAATACTTATTTTCCACCATAATTTGCAAATAAATTCAGAAAAAATCCTACAATGTGATTTTCTGGATTTTTTTTCTCAATTTGTCTGTCATAGTTGACGTGTACCTATGATGAAAATTACAGGCCTCTCTCATCTTTTTAAGTGGGAGAACTTGCACAATTGGTGGCTGACTAAATACTTTTTTCCCCACTGTATAACATTCCCGACAAAGAACACCCCTGCCTAATACCTCTACACACTTTAAAAGGAGCACTCAAGCCACCGCTAACTTTCAATACACTTTCAATGTCACCATATATCACCCTGATCATGGCAATAAAACCAAAACTGAAACCAAATGCCTCAAAAGTGCGCCATAAGTATTGATGTTCAACTCGGTCAAATGCCTTTTCCTGATCAATTGAAATTAGACCAGCATCCAACCCAATAGCCCTAGAGACATCCAAAAAATCCAGAATCAGATCAATGTTATCCCCTATCTGCCTGCCGGGAACACAGTAGGACTGGTCCGTATGTATGATTTGCCCCATCACCTCCCTCAGCCTGTTGGACAAAGCATTGGACAGGATCTTATAATCAGTGCACAATAAAGCCACCGGCCTCCAGTTCTTCACCTCCCTAGGGTCACCCATTTTTGGCAGTAGGGTGAGGACAGCCCTCCTGCAGCTTATCGGTAGTAACCCTACGGGCAAACTATCGTTAACTACTGCTAGCCAATCCTCTCCCAACATAGTCCAAAAATACTTTAAAAAGTCAACGGGAAGCCCATCAATACCTGGCGCCCTTCCATTTTCCATGCCTTTTAATGCAGTGTATAGCTCCTGCAAAGTCAATGGTTGCTCTAGCTCAACCTGAGCTTCTGCAGCCACCTGTGGGAGCCCATCAAGGAACTGCTGTGTCACTGTTTTATTCTCTTTGTACTCACATTTGTAGAGCTCAGCATAGAACTCTACTGCCCACTTTCTAATTTCACTAGGGCTAGTGAGCTCCTGTCCAACAGCTGATTTGAGGCAATGAATAAATCTTCTTTGTCCATTCCTTTTCTCTAAACCCACATTTTTTTGGGATGAGGCATCCATTTCAGAGATTCTCTGAAACGTACTTCTCACCAATGACCCCTGTGCTCTGAAACCCAGCAGGTCTGCCAATGCGGCTTTTTTCCTCTTGAGGGCCTGAGTATGGCCTCGATCTCCTGTGGTCTCAACCAACGTCAGGAGTTCCACTATTTCAGACTCTAGGGCTTTCATTGATCTGGTGATGTCTTTGGTGACATTCATTCTGTATTGATTACAGAATTGTTGGATCTGGATTTCCCCTATATCCAACCATTGTTGAAGGGATACAAAAATTGCCTTTTGAGACCTCCACCTCTCCCAGAAAAAACTAAAACATTTCGTGAAGTGAGCATCACTCAATAAAGTTATATTAAAATGCCAGTATGCGCTTTTGGGTTTTACAGCATTAATGAATACCACCTCAGTTATTAAACAATGATCAGAAAATCCCGCTCAATAAAGTTATATTAAAATGCCAGTATGCACTTTTGGGTTTTACAGCATTAATGAATACCACCTCAGTTATTAAACAATGATCAGAAAATCCCACTGGGGTTATCACACTTGATTTACAGACCTGAGATTGATGCTCAAAACAATAAAACCTATCTAACCTGACCAGAGAGATGGTGTTCTCTCTCACGTGGGCCCATGTGTACTGTCTCGTCCCTCCATGTTGACTCCGCCAAATATCACACAGTTCATGTGTTACAAAAAGGCGTTTTAAAAAAGGTCTTGAGGCTATATGAGGTTCTTTGTGATTTCTATCTAAATCGCTGACTGTGCAGTTAAAATCCCCAGCAAGATATAAATAATCATCAGTATTACATTTACATACAGTGGGGAAAAAAAGTATTTAGTCAGCCACCAATTGTGCAAGTTCTCCCACTTAAAAAGATGAGAGAGGCCTGTAATTTTCATCATAGGTACACGTCAACTATGACAGACAAAATTAGATTTTTTTTCTCCAGAAAATCACATTGTAGGATTTTTTAATGAATTTATTTGCAAACTATGGTGGAAAATAAGTATTTGGTCAATAACAAAAGTTTCTCAATACTTTGTTATATACCCTTTGTTGGCAATTACACAGGTCAAACGTTTTCTGTAAGTCTTCACAAGGTTTTCACACACTGTTGCTGGTATTTTGGCCCATTCCTCCATGCAGATCTCCTCTAGAGCAGTGATGTTTTGGGGCTGTCGTGGACAACACGGACTTTCAACTCCCTCCAAAGATTTTCTATGGGGTTGAGATCTGGAGACTGGCCAGGACACTATAGGACCTTGAAATGCTTCTTACGAAGCCACTCCTTCGTTGCCTGGGCGGTGTGTTTGGGATCATTGTCATGCTGAAAGACCCAGCCACGTTTCATCTTCAATGCCCTTGCTGATGGAAGGAGGTTTTCACTCAAAATCTCACGATACATGGCCCCATTCATTCTTTCCTTTACACGGATCAGTCGTCCTGGTCCCTTTGCAGAAAAACAGCCCCAAAGCATGATGTTTCCACCCCCATGCTTCACAGTAGGTATGGTGTTCTTTGGATGCAACTCAGCATTCTTTGTCCTCCAAACACGACGAGTTGAGTTTTTACCAAAAAGTTATATTTTGGTTTCATCTGACCATATGACATTCTCCCAATCCTCTTCTGGATTATCCAAATGCACTATAGCAAACTTCAGACGGGCCTGGACATGTACTGGCTTAAGCAGGGGGACACGTCTGGCACTGCAGGATTTGAGTCCCTGGCGGCGTAGTGTGTTACTGATGGTAGGCTTTGTTACTTTGGTCCCAGCTCTCTGCAGGTCATTCACTAGGTCCCCCCGTGTGGTTCTGGGATTTTTGCTCATCGTTCTTGTGATCATTTTGACCCCACGGGGTGAGATCTTGCGTGGAGCCCCAGATCGAGGGAGATTATCAGTGGTCTTGTATGTCTTCCATTTCCTAATAATTGCTCCCACAGTTGATTTCTTCAAACCAAGCTGCTTACCTATTGAAGATTCAGTCTTCCCAGCCTGGTGCAGGTCTACAATTTTGTTTCCGGTGTCCTTTGACAGCTCTTTGGTCTTGGCCATAGTGGAGTTTGGAGTGTGACTGTTTGAGGTTGTGGACAGGTGTCTTTTATACTGATAACAAGTTGAAACAGGTGCCATTAATACAGATAACGAGTGGAGGACAGAGGAGCCTTTAAAGAAGAAGTTACAGGTCTGTGAGAGCCAGAAATCTTGCTTGTTTGTAGGTGACCAAATACTTATTTTCCACCATAATTTGCAAATAAATTCATAAAAAATCCTACAATGTGATTTTCTGGATTTTTTTTTCTGAATTTGTCTGTCATAGTTGACGTGTACCTATGATGAAAATTACAGGCCTCTCTCATCTTTTTAAGTGGGAGAACTTGCACAATTGGTGGCTGACTAAATAGTTTTTTCCCCCACTGTATATACACTGCTCAAAAAAATAAAGGGAACACTTAAACAACACAATGTAACTCCAAGTCAATCACACTTCTGTGAAATCAAACTGTCCACTTAGGAAGCAACACTGATTGACCATAAATGTCACATGCTGTTGTGCAAATGGAATAGACAACAGGTGGAAATTATAGGCAATTAGCAAGACACCCCCAATAAAGAAGTGGTTCTTCAGGTGGTGACCACAGACCACTTCTCAGTTCCTATGCTTCCTGGTTGATGTTTTGGTCACTTTTGAATGCTGGCGGTGCTTTCACTCTAGTGGTAGCATGAGATGGAGTCTACAACCCACACAAGTGGCTCAGGTAGTGCAGCTCATCCAGGATGGCACATCAATGCGAGCTGTGGCAAGAAGGTATGCTGTGTCTGTCAGCATAGTGTCCAGAGCATGGAGGCGCTACCAGGAGACAGGCCAGTACATCAGGAGACGTGGAGGAGGCCGTAGGAGGGCAACAACCCAGCAGCAGGACCGCTACCTCCGCCTTTGTGCAAGGAGGAGCAGGAGGAGCACTGCCAGAGCCCTGCAAAATGACCTCCAGCAGGCCACAAATGTGCATGTGTCTGCTCAAACGGTCAGAAACAGACTCCATGAGGGTGGTATGAGGGCCCAACGTCCACAGGTGGGGGTTGTGCTTACAGCCCAACACGTGCAGGAGGTTTGGCATTTGCCAGAGAACACCAAGACTGGCAAATTCGCCACTGGCGCCCTGTGCTCTTCACAGATGAAAGCAGGTTCACACTGAGCACGTGACAGACGTGACAGAGTCTGGAGACGCCGTGGAGAACGTTCTGCTGCCTGCAACATCCTCCAGCATGACCGGTTTGGCGGTGGGTCAGTTATGGTGTGGGGTGGCATTTCTTTTGGGGGCCGCACAGCCCTCCATGTGCTTGCCAGAGGTAGCCTGACTGCCATTAGGTATCGAGATGAGATCCTCAGACCCCTTGTGAGACCATATGCTGGTGCGGTTGGCCCTGGGTTCCTCCTAATGCAAGACAATTCTAGACCTCATGTGGCTGGAGTGTGTCAGCAGTTCCTGCAAGAGGAAGGCATTGATGCTATGGACTGGCTCGCCCATTCCCCAGACCTGAATCCAATTGAGCACATCTGGGACATCATGTCTCGCTCCATCCACCAACGCCACGTTGCACCACAGACTGTCCAGGAGTTGGCGGATGCTTTAGTCCAGGTCTGGGAGGAGATCCCTAAGGAGACCATCCGCCACCTCATCAGGAGCATGCCCAGGCGTTGTAGGGAGGTCATACAGGCACGTGGAGGCCACACACACTACTGAGCATCATTTTGACTTGTTTTAAGGACATTATATCAAAGTTGGATCAGCCTGTAGTGTGGTTTTCCACTTTAATTTTGAGGGTGACTCCAAATCCAGACCTCCATGGGTTGATACATTTGATTTCCATTGATAATTTTTGTGTGATTGTGTTGTCAGCACATTCAACTATGTAAAGAAAAAAGTATTTAATAAGATTCTTTCATTCATTCAGATCTAGGATGTGTTGTTTAAGTGTTCCCTTAATTTTTTTGAGCAGTGTATATATACATACATACACACACACACACACACACACACACACACACACACACACACACACACACACAGACACACACACACGCCAAAACCCAATAAAGTGAAAATAATTCGCTCCTGCTTCCCGACTCACTCCCAGCATGAGAGAGAGAGAGAGAGCCATCACCTACAGAGAGATGAACCTGGAGAAGAGTACCCTAAGCAAGCTGGTCCTGGGGCTCTGTTCACAAACACAAACAGACCCCACAGAGCCCCAGGACAACACACAACACAATTAGACCCAACCAAATCATGAGAAAACAAAAAGAGAATTACTTGACACACTGGAAAGAATTAACAAAAAAACAGAGCAAACTAGAATGCTATTTGGTCCTAAACAGAGAGTACACTGTGGCAGAATACCTGACCACTGTGACTGACCCAAACTTAAGGAAAGCTTTGACTATGTACAGACTCAGTGAGCATAGCCTTGCTATTGAGAAAGGCCACCGTAGGCAGACCTGGCTCTCAAGAGAAGACAGGCTATGTGCACACTGCCCACAAAATGAGGTGGAAACTGAGCTGCACTTCCTAACCTCCTGCCAAATGTATGACCATATTAGAGACACATATTTCTCTCAGATTACACAGATCCACAAAGAATTCGAAAACAAACCCTATTTTGATAAACTCCCTTATCTACTGGGTGAAATACCACAGTGTGCCATCACAGCAACAAGATTTGTGACCTGTTGCCACAAGAAAAGGGCAACCAGTGAAGAACAAACACCATTGTAAATACAACCCATATTTATGTTGATTTATTTTCCCATTTATACTTTAACTATTTGCACATTGTTAAAACACTGTATATAAGAAATGTCTTTATTATTTTGGAACTTCTGAGTGTAATGTTTACTGTTAATATTTATTGTTTATTTCAATTTTGTTTACTATCTACTTCACTTGCTTTGGCAATGTTAACATACGTTTCCCATGCCAATAAAGCCTTACTTGAAATGTGAGATAAGAGAGAGAGAGAGAGAGAGAGAGAGATAGATACGAGAGCAGAGAGGATCTTCTCTCTCTCTCGCTCTCTCTCTCTATTCCCTGTTCTCTCTCTCTCTCTCTCTCTCTCTCTCTCTCTTCTCTCTCTCTCTCTCTCTCTCTCTCTATAGATCGCTAATAATATCTAGAGATATTTTCTGCCTCGCCTGCTTTGGCCAATCCACTACTACTGCTCTGTTTCCATGGTTTCTGCCTGTCTGTCGTTCTTCCCTAATGTCTTGATATCCCTCTGTCCGTGTGTCTGTCTATCATTAGAGCTGCTCCCAGTATGGTCTGATTACCTGTCTGTGTCTGTCAGGATCAATCTGGCCCCCACGGTGGGCTATGAGGAGGATGCAGGCAGCCACACCACCCACCACTTCATGTACCCAGAGAGTGCCAAGAACCTGGCAGCCAATGTCAGCTTCGTCCTGGTGCCTTTCAAGACCCTGGATCTGCTGTGGATCACCAGCGCACTCTCCACTGGACAGATTCGCTTGTGAGAGCAAAACTGCTAGCACACACACACACAGTCCATTCAGTTCCGGTCCTTGCCGTTCTGCAGCCATAAGCTAGACCAAAAAATGCTGCTAGACTAAAAAAAAGTCACAGTAAGCAAATTGACGTTGAAAAGACGACAAAAATATTCAATTTAGGTTCTGAATGAAAGGTGAAAATACGTATTTTTCGTATGTTTAAAATACATATTTTCCAGGACATTGAAAAGGCTTTCCGGACTATTTTCCGGACATTGAAATCAGGTACATTTTCACTTTTGAATGAAAGTTGAAAATACTTATTTTCCGGATGTTGAAATCAGGCTAATTTTTGGTTCTGAATTAAAGTTGAAAAGACGTAATTAATAGACGTCTATGTATGGGCCAAATCAAGGCTGGTCCAGACCGGACAATAGACATCTATGATTGGTTCATATCTGGTTCAGATTTGGTCCCGATCGAATTGTCCAAAATATGTCCAAAAGGCGTCGGCATCGGTCCGTGCTTAGTGTTGCCTGAAATTGAATTTTATGAAGCCCCATCAAAGCGAAAGCTTACCTTTTTAAAAATAACCCCAAAGAAAACGTCGGGGGCAGGCCCAGGAAGAAAAAAAGGGAGGGTTTTTGGTTTTGGTTTAAAGGGAGTGAAAGCCTACTATTTTTGGGGCCCAAAATTTAAAAAATTTTTTTTAAAATGCCCATCCATGGGGGGGGTGGGGGGCCCCCCAAATTTTTAAAAAAAAGGTAAATTTGGCATTGGCTTTTTTTTTAAGTCCTGATTTCCAAAATTTGGGTCTTTTTAAAAAGCCCCTGAATTTTAAAAGCTACCCAACTTTAATCATTAGGTTACCCGCTAGCCTTTTTCCCAATGTTTCCCAGCGGGAAATGCAGAAGTAAAAAATGTTTCGCTTATCATTTTGGAAAAAAAATTGACCGATAAAAAAAACTTAAACCCACTGATAAATGATAATTTGGGGGGGGGAAACTCCTGGAAAAACAGTTGTGATTGTACATTGAAACTTTTGGCCCTTTTGTTTTCCCTTTTTTGTTTCCCTTTTTAGGATAGTTGTTTGTTCCCATGAAATTGAAAATTTTTTATTTGTTTGGCCCCCTTTTAGGTTAGGCAAATTTTTGATCGGGAAAACCCCCCTGAAATGATAAAAAAAAAAGTGCCCGTCTCATTACATTGTAAACATTTTAAACCCCCCCCCCTTGTAGCCCACGAAAAGGCCACAAAAATTTTTTTTTCTACCAATTTTTTTCCTTTTTCCAAAATTCCCGGCTACTTTCTTTTTTTTGAGGGTTTTTGGGGGACCCGCCGCAGAGTTTGTCTTTCCAACAGCACCTTGGGGGGGTTTCCGCCGGGGGGGAAAGTTTTGGGAAAAAGGGCCAAAATTTTTTCCCTTTTTGGGGGGGGGGGGGGCCCCCCGGGGGGGGGGGGGGCCTTTAAAACAAAAGTTGGGGGTCCCTTTTTTAATCAAAAAGGGGCCGGAAATTCCAAACGGTTTTTTTCCAATTTTAAAGCCCTTTTTTTTTGCCCCAAATTTTTTTTGGTTTTTTAGAAAGTTTTCCAATTTTTTTTGTGGGCATTAAGTTATTTGTTTGAAGGATTTTTTTTTGGGGGGTTTTTTTGTTTTGGTTTAAAAAAAAAAATTTTTCCCCGTTTTTTGGAAAATTTTTCGCTTCAGGAAAGGGTTGTTTTGGGCCCTTTTTAGAACCCCAATTTTTTTCCCCCCTGCCATAGGGGGTTTTGCCTAAAGGGGAGCAGGCCGGGCCTAAACCCCCATTTTCAAATTGTTTTCCCAATAAAAAAACCCAACCCTTTTCCGCCCCCCCAAAAAAAAGCAAAAAAATTTTGTTTAAATTGTTCAAAGTTAACCTTCGGGGCTTTAAACAAAACAAAAACCCCTTCAAAAAAACAAAAATTGCACCTCATTTCTCCCCGCCCCTCTGTCTCTCTGTCTCTCTCTTTTCTTTTCTCTGCTCTCCCCTCCCTCTGGGGGCTCTCCCCTCTCTCTCTCTCTCCTCTCTCTCTCTCTTCTCCCCCTCCCCTCATTTCTCTGGTCTCCCTCTCTGCTCTCTTCCCCTTCTTTCCCCCTCTCTTTCCTCCTTGTCCTCTCCCCTCTCTCTTCCTGTCCCCCCCTCCCCCCTTCCCTTCTCTTCCCTCCCCCTTCTCTCTGTGCTCTTCCCCTTTTCTCGTCTCTTCTCTCTTCCCCCCTCTTTTCTCCTCTCTCTCTCTTCTTCTCGTCCTCTCTCTCCTTTTCTCCTCTCTCTCCCCCGCTCTCCTTCCTCCTCTCTCCCTTTAAATCCCCATTCCAAAAGCCCGGAGCCCCATCATAAACCCAACCCACTCTCTGGTGTGGGGAAAAAAGGAAAAAAAAAAAAAAGGGGGGGGTTGGCCATCTGTAAAATCAGTAAAACCCCATTTCCACAGAAATTTAAATTAAAGGATAAAAGTTTGTTAAATCTTTTCCCTCTCCCCGGCTTTCCACTCTTCTCTTTTCGGGCCCTTTTCCCGGCCCCTTGAAAAAATTTTCTACGGTGGAAAAAGGGAAAAACAAGGTGAAAATTTTCTAAAATTATAATTTCTCTCCCCAACCTTTGGGGAAAAGAAAATTTTTTAAATGTCACTTTTTGTAACTAAAAAATTGTCTGTCTCCAATGTCTTTGGTTTAAACCCCAGCGGGTTTGGACCCCTGGGGGCTTGTTTTTATTTTTTTAATGCTCCCCCAGGTTTTCCAAAAAAGGTTTCTTAAAACCCCAAAGCCTTTCTTTTCGGGGTACCAAACCCCCCCCAAATTACCCCCCCCCGCTGGGAACAGGGCACCCAGGACCTACCCTTTCCACAGGGCTTTGGGTTTTTTGGCCCTTTTGGGTTCCCCTTCGCTTCCGGGCCCTTTTTTGTGAAAACCGAATGGGAAAACCTCGGCTCCACAAGCCACAAAAAAATTTAAGAGTTTGGAAGCCGGGCCCTTGTCCGCCTTTTTTTAAAAGGGGTTAAGGACCCGGAAAGGGCCCCTTCGGTAAAAGCAGGGGGGGAAATTTGGGGGGTAAACCCGAAACCGGGGGTTTGGGAAAAAAACAGGGGGGGGGGCCAAATAAATGCGGGGAGGGGGATAAAAGGCCCTGATCTTGACTCGCTGGCTAAGGGCTTGCCAAGGGAATTAAAACAATTTTTCCCTTGGGAAATTTTGGGGCGGGCGGAATTGTGTGTAGGGGGGCTGGGCCCGGTTTACAGGAACACAAAACCCCCTTTCCCCCCCCCCCTTTAAAGGCTTTTTGATGTTTCACCCTCCCGGTCTTTGGTGCTTTCCCTAAAGGGGTTTCCAAAACCCCCCATTTTTCCAAGCCTGCTTATCGGGGTTCCCCCAGGGGGGAGGTTGAATGGGTGGTTTTGGGTGACTACACCCTTCCCCCCAACAGGCCTACCTCCAAATTAAGAACAAAAAAAGAACTAATGGGGGGAGGGGGGCAGAAAAGTCCTGGCCCCTCCATTTGAAAGGGCCCTTTTAAAACCAGTCCCCCCCCCCTTGCTCACCAGCCCTGGGGTTGGGTCATCACCCCCTTAGGGGTCCCCACACCCAGAGCGCAGCCCCCCTCCCACCTTAGCCCCCACCCTTATCCCCCAGGTCAACCCGGCCCCGGACACGGGCCCCTACCCTGCCATGTCCACCCCCACCTTAGACCCTGCTAAAAATCCCCCTCCCCCCTGGAGCTGGGAGAATGGGTTTAAGTTTACCATGCTTTGAACCCCCGGGGGCTCTTAAAAATAAGATTTCCTTTTGAAATTTAAAATACTACCCTTTTGGGTATTACCCCCCCGGGTTTTGGGACCAATATACCTTTAAAGGGGGTTTTATTTTGGGTTTTCCTTTTAAGGGGACCTTTAACCCCACCCCCGGTTTATAAGGTAATTGGGGTGAGGTTTACACCGGAACAACACAAGCATACAAAAAAACAAAAAATAAGACTAAACCCCCTCACTCACTCCCACACATATTTTTCCTTCAGAAAGTATCATCCCCCTTAAACTTATTCCACATTTTTTTTTGTTGTACCCAAATTTTAAAAATGGATTTTTTTTTAAATCTCATCAACCTAAACACAATACCCCCCTAATGACCCAAATTAAAACATTTTTTTGAAATGTTTTTCAAATTCATTGAAAATAATTCAGAAAAATCTTGACATACGTATTCACATCCCCGAGCAAAACCCTTTAGAACACCTTTCCCCCAGGATTACAGCTGTTGGGCTTTTTTGGGGGAAAACTCTAAGAGCTTTGCCCCCTGGATTGTACAATTTTTTGCACCTTATTCTTTTGTAAAATTCCCTTTAAATTCTGTCAAGTTGCTTTTTTTACATTTCTATACAGTCTTGCCATAGACTTCAAGCTGATTTAAGTCCAAAAATGGAACTGGCCACTCCAAAATTCAAAAGTCCCTCTTGGTAAGGGAAATCCAGTGTAAAATTTTGGGCCGGGTTTTAGGTTATTGTCCTGCTAAAAGGGAATTTGTCTCCCGTTTTGTTGGGAAAACAGCGAACCCGGGTTTTCCCTCTAGGGTTTTGCCTGGCTTTGCTTATTTTTATTTTTATCCTAAAAAAAATCCCTATCCCCCTTTCTGATACAAGCATACCTATGACTGATCGCCAAACCCCTAAACTTTAAAAAAAAGAAGAGTGGGACTCGTGATGTGTTGTGTTGGATTTTCTCCAAACAATCACTTTTTTATTCAGGGCCCAAAAAGGGAATTGCTTTCCACATTTTTTCAGTAATTTTTTTAGTGCCCCCGTTGCAAAAAAGGGGGCATGTTTTTGGAATTCGTTTCAGGAAACCTTCTTTTCACTGTCAAATTTGGGTTGTATTGGGGAGTAACACCTGTTTTTTTTCTCCATCCTCAGTTTTTTTTATCACAGCCATTAAAATCTGTAAATGGGCCCCATGGGAAGATCACCGAGAGGGTTTTCCCTTTCCCCTCCGGGAACTGATTTAGGAAAGGGCACTTGTTCCTTTTTTAGTGGCTGGATTAGGGCCATCATCCAAAGTAAATTAATAAGTTCACCATGCTTTAAAGGGAATTCAAAGTCATTTTTTTTTTTTTTTTTTTTATCCACCAATAGGGCCCTTCTTTGCAGGCATTGGGAAAAAATTCCCTGGTCCCTTTTTGGTGGAATCTTTGATTGAAATTCCCCTGCTCGACTGAGGGACCCTTAAAAGTTAATTGTAAAGTTTTGGGGTACAAAAATGAGGGAAATCCCTTTTTCCCCCCAAAACATTGGGTTTAAAAGTTTATTGCCAAAAGTGGGCCTGCAACTTCCCGTTTGTGACTTGTTTTTGCACTTTTTTTCTCCTTTTTTTTTAAAATTTTTTAGGCTTCAACCCAAAAGGGGGGGAAAAACTTTTTGACTAAAAACTTTTAGCTTATATTTTTTAAATTTTTTTAAAAAAAAAACGGGAAAAAATCATTTCCCCTTTGGTATTTGGCCCGGGACAACAAATCTCTTTAATCATTTAAAATTTTAGGATTAACACAACAAACGTGGAAAAAAGGGAAAGGGGGGTTTTATATTTTCTGAAGGGACTGACATACTATTCTCCCACCAACCCCCCGTTTTACCCCAATGGTTTTTGGTCCAAATTTTGGGGCCAATACCAAATAAGCAAAAAGCTGATGGGTTAAAAAACCCACCCAAATGGCGTGTTTCCTCCTGCTGCCCCGTTAAGGGGTCTGCATCACTCTGAGGCCCAGACATTATTCATGCATGGACAAAATGAAGGCGGGCTCTTTTTTTGTGTTTAAATGGGAAATTTCCAACTTGATAAAAAAATGGAAAAAAGTATTAAAATTTGGGCAAAATAACCCATATTTTAACCCGGAACTGGCCCCCTTTTTCCTGTTGTGCGTAACTATTTTTCGCTACCTATGTGTTGTGCGGGTGGAAGTTAATGTTGTCGCACTGTTTGTCGCATGTCCTTTCGCCTGTCGTGCGTAATGTTTGCCCTCGGGCAAAGTTTCCATTTGCCTTGGTTTGGCCTATGATACAAGCCTTTGGGAATATCGTTCTGAGTCCTGCGTTTGATTCCACTATTACACCTACCGCACGCCTGACACTAGCCTATTTGCAATGTTTACACAGCGGGAAATGCAGAAGTATTAAATGTTTCACTATGATCAGCTTGTCAAAAATGGACCGATACAAACTTGAAACCACTGATCATGATAATGGGGTGAAACTCCTGGACAACAGTTGTGATTGTACATTTTACTTTGACCTGTCCTGTTTTTAGGATATGTTGTTTGTTAACATGACAGTGCATTTTTTATTTGATTGAGCGCCATTTAGGTTAGGCTATTTGATCAGAGAAACCTGCATGATGTAAAAAGTGTCTGTCTCATTACATTGTCATACATGTTATCTCCAGCTTGTAGACTACAGAAAAGGCCACATACTCTTTCTACCATATCCTATATCTGCTACATTCCTTTTTTGATGGAACGTTGGTGGAGCGCCGCAGAGATGTGTCTTTCCAACAGCACCTTGGAGAGGTTCGCTGGGAGTGGACAAGCAAAATATTTTGCGCCCCTGCCTTTGACAAAGTGAGCACTGTTTATCACAGGGCGGAATCAACGCTCACATAAAAAGCATTTATGCCACTGGTTGAGAAAAATTGTCATTTTTGGGGGGCAGAATTATGTGAGGATTTATGTGTTGTTGTTGGAGTTGCGTCTTGGTCAGTTTAGCTCAGAAAATGCTGCCCTCGTCAATCTGCTGCCATAGGCGGATGCCTAATGAGCAGGCCGGCCCTGAGTCCATTTCTATTGTTTAACATAAACACACCTTTTCGCACTAGCACATTTTGTTCATATGTTCAAAGTGAACTGCTGGCTTCACAATCACACCTTCACAAACACATTGCCACTCTGCACTCTCTGCACTCTCTGTCTCTCTGTCTCTCTGTCTCTCTCTCTCTCTCTCTCTCTGTCTCTCTCTCTGTCTCTGTCTCTCTCTCTCTCTGTCTCTCTCTCTGTCTCTCTCTCTCTCTCTCTCTGTCTCTCTCTCTGTCTCTCTCTCTCTCTCTGTCTCTCTCTCTCTCTCTGTCTCTCTCTCTCTGTCTCTCTCTCTCTCTCTCTCTCTCTCTCTCTCTCTCATCCCATTCCAGGTCAGAGCACATCATCAACAGAGCACTCTCTCTGTGGAAAAGGAACAACGTGCCATCTGTGAATCAGTCAATCACTTCACAGAAATGTAGAAAGTAAAGGATAAAAGTGTGTTAAATCTCTTTCTCTCTCCCTTTATCACTCTCTCTTTCAGTACCTACGCCCCTGTGAAGCAGTTTCTACGGGTGGACAAGGACAAGGTGCTAATCTATATTTATAATCTCTCCCTCCAACCTTTGTCATGTATTTGTTCAATAGTGCACAGTTGTAAATAAATCTGTCTGTCTCCAATGTCATTGGTAAACCCAGCATGGTACACTGTGCTGCTATCTAATCTCCCCAGGTTCAGATCTTCAACCCAGCCTTCTTCAAGTACATCCATGACCGCTGGACCAGGCACCACGGACGCTACCCTTCCACAGGCATGCTGGTCCTGTTCTTCGCTCTGCACGTGTGTGACGAGGTGAGGACCTCGCTAACACACACTCACACAAACACACAATACAGACACGTCTCTCGGCCAGTCTCTAGGCCAATCTGTCTGCCTGTTTTAAAACGTTATCTTGTATTCCAGGTAAATGTGTTTGGCTTCGGCGCTGACAGTCGAGGCAACTGGCACCACTATTGGGAGCAGAACCGCTACTCTGGAGAGTTCCGGAAAACAGGGGTGCATGATGCAGACTATGAGGCCCTGATCATTGACTCGCTGGCTAAGGCTGGCAAGATCACCAATTTTCCCAGGAAAGTGAGGCGGGCTGGATGTGTGGTGGGCTGGACAGGTTTACAGGAACACAAGAACACCTATCACCATTAGGCTTTTTGATGTTGTCATCTGCTTCTTTGTGCTTTGCATAGAGAGGGATCCAAAACACTACATTATACAATGCCTGCTTATCATGTTCCAGGATGGTAAGATGATGGTGGTTTTGGGTGACTACACTCTTCCCCCAACAGGCCTACCTCCATAGAAACAACAGAACTATAGAGGGGGCAGAGAAGTCTGGCCTAGCCACTGTATGGACCTTTGAACCAGTCCCCCCCTCTTGCTCAGCCACTGGGGGTTGAGTCATCACACACCTTAGGGGTCTCACACCCAGAGACTCAGCCCCCTCCCACTCTGTAGCCCCCACCCTTAATACCATGTCAACCAGTGACGGACACTGAGCTATCCCTGCCATGTCCACACCCACCTGTAGAGCTGCTGCTAAAGCCCCATCGCCCCTGGGAGCTAGGAGTACTAGGTAGTTGAAGTTTACATGCTTTGAAGCCCAGAGGCTACTTCAAAATAAGAGTTCCTGTTGTAATTAAATGACTATCATGTTGAAGGTATGTACAGCCCACAGGGATTTGACCACATATACGGTATTAACGGTTTTATTTGTTTTAACCATTTTAAGTGACTAATCCTGCTGATTAGGTAAATTGGGGTGAGGCTTACACACAGTGAACAACACAAGCAGACATACAGATAAGACTAAAACCACTCACTCACTCACACACATACAGTGCCTTCAGAAAGTATTCATACCCCTTGACTTATTCCACATTTTGTTGTGTTGTACCCTGATTTCAAAATTGATTTTTTTTAAATCTCATCAACCTAAACACAATACCCCGTAATGACAAAGTGAAAACATGTTTTTAGAAATGTTTGCAAATTCATTGAAAATGAAGTGCAGAAATATCTAATTGACATACGTATTCACATCCCTGAGTCAATACATGTTAGAATCACCTTTCGCAGGGATTACAGCTGTGAGTCTTTCTGGGTAAATCTCTAAGAGCTTTGCACACCTGGATTGTACAATATTTGCACATTATTCTTTTGTAAATTCTTCAAATTCTGTCAAGTTGCTTGTTGATCATTGCTATACAGTCTTGCCATAGATCTTCAAGCTGATTTAAGTCAAAACTGTAACTAGGCCACTCCGGAACATTCAATGTCGTCTTGGTAAGCAACTCCAGTGTAAATTTGGCCTTGTGTTTTAGGTTATTGTCCTGCTAAAAGGTAAATTTGTCTCCCAGTGTCTGTTGGAAAGCAGACTGAACCAGGTTTTCCTCTAGGATTTTGCCTGTGCTTAGCTCTATTCCATTTATTTTTATCCTAAAAAACTCCCTAGTCCTTGCTGATCACAAGCATACCTATGACATGATGCAGCCACCACTATGCTTGAAAATATGAAGAGTGGTACTCAGTGATGTGTTGTGTTGGATTTGCTCCAAACATATCACTTTTGTATTCAGGACAAAAAGTTAATTGCATGTTTTGGAATATTCTGTACAGGATACCTTCTTTTCACTGTCAATTAGGTTAGTATTGTGGAGTAACTACAGTGTTTTTGCTCCATCTTCAGTTTTCTCCTATCACAGCCATTAAACTCTGTAACTGGCCTCATGGTGAGATCACTGAGAGGTTTCCTTCCTCTCCGGCAACTGATTTAGGAAGGACACTTGTATCTTTGTAGTGGCTGGATGTATTGATACATCATCCAAAGTATAATTAATAAGTTCACCATGCTCAAAGGGATATTCAATGTCAGCTTTTTTTTATTTATTTTTTTATCCACCAATAGGTGCCCTTCTTTGCGAGGCATTGGAAAACTTCCCTGGTCTTTGTGGTGGAATCTTTGTTTGAAATTCACTGCTCGACTGAGGGACCTTACAGGTAATTGTATGTGTGGGGTACAGAGATGAGGTAGTCATTCAAAAATCATGTTAAACAGTATTATTGCACACAGAGTGAGGCCATGCAACTTACTGTATTGTGACTTGTTTAGCACATTTTTACTCCTGAATTTATTTAGGCTTGCCATAACAAAGGGGTTGAATACTTATTGACTCAAGACATTTCAGCTTATCATTTTTTATTAATTTGTAAAAATATCGGAAAACATCATTCCACTTTGATATTTGGCCAGTGACAACAAATCTCAATTTAATACATTTAAATTTCAGGATGTAACACAACAAACTGTGGAAAAGGTAAAGGGGTGTGAATATTTTCTGAAGGCACTGTACATACATATTCTCCCACACATACACTCCATTCACACAATGTTCTTGGTCAATTTGAGCCAATACCACTAAGCATAAAAGACTGATGAGTAAAAGAGCCCACACTAAGATGGCGTGTTGCCTCCTGCTGCCTGTTAAGGGATACTGCATCACTCTGAGGCCCAGACATTATGCATGCATAGGACAAACTGAAGGCTGTCTCTTCTGTGTCTAATGATGACAACTTGATAGATGAGAGTATTATGGCAGAACATAACTAAACCGACTGCTAGTAAAAAATTCCATTATATTTTCAGATCAGATGAGTAGTTACAAACAGAGTTTAGGAACTCTGACAAAAACTCAGGCTTTAGTCCTGGCTGTAGTAGTTATGAGCCAATTTGTCAATGTGACATTCTGGCCCTCACCCCAGTGCTCCAACCAGTTGAGAATGTGTGCTGTTGTGTAATCCTATGATGATATCATAACTATGGTCAATACCATCATATACTGTATGATATAATTGTATTATTTCCATCCTTTGCACATCATGACGTTCTTATCTGACACCATGCCATTGTGTTGGGAAGGTCTCAGATCAGTGTAACTGACTCCTTTACATAGCCTATGTCTAATTTCAGTGTGGAATTTTAGTTGGTTTAAGTAAGTGTCTCTACCTGACACACACGCCTACTTTAAGTATGTTGTGCGTAGGGCTGGAACAATTACCATATAACCGTGTAACGGACGGTTATGGATGAAGACCGTCACGAAACTAAAATAACCCTCATAACCGTTAAAGATATATGTGTGTGTATGCATGCGTGTGGAATAAACAGCTGACTGAAGGTGACCGTGGTCATTTGGTTGACCAATAGCCGTCATCCAAAATTCCATGACCGTCACAGCCATAGTTGTGCGTGTGTGTGAGAGAGCGAGAGCTGTAGAAATCATTGTGATTCTCTTAGTTTTGTCGAAGTTTGATTTTCAGGTAGAGCCCTCATAACAAATAGACACATATCAGTAATTTACAGCCATGTGACAACACACACATCCATGCTTGCGTGCCTTTTCCCAGTATTGTACATACAGTACCTTTCCTGCAGTGCACCATAAACCTCAGCTACAGTACACACGTGTGCCAACTTAAGTTTAATTTAGTAGTCATGCACAGCACATTCACACACCTACTATAAACACCTGCACCTGCTGTTAGAATCTTACTGTTTGTTAGTCATGTCTCTTACACATACACATATTCTGAGAGCTTCAATTGGCTTCTTTTCCCTGATTTTGACCACACACCTTATATTCTACACACCCCTGGTCTCGGCCTGGCTGAGCTGTGCCTTCTGGACCCACACACATATGTTTCACTCTGCCTTTCTCTAGGAGCCATGTAGAAAGGCTTCCTTTATGTTGCTTTTTACACAGAACACATTACCTTGAGGTGAAAGGAAACAAACTATCTGTGACGACTAATTTTGCGTAAAGTTGATATGACTATGGCTGAATTCATTTGCTGTGCTCAATCTGTGTTTTGCCATTGTGTCGGTGAGCTAATGTGTTCCAAGATGACAGCCAATGACAATGTGTCTAGTGCTTAAAACATCTCCAACATGTGTTTTACATGGAAAGTTTCTAAATATTCCCACCACTTTTCTGGGTGGTGCTGTCCATGACAGAAATAGAATGTGCAATACTTCACCAAAGAGAATCAAACATAATTGACATTGTTCTAATGACTTCTATATCTTTAATTCCATTACTCCCTATCACTTTTGTAACTCTATAAAATGTTTATCCAACAGGATATAAGGCATAGGTAATGTATCAATAAAGCTAGCCCACTGAAGCTGAACGCTACGTTCTAGCTCAACTTGCATCATTTTGTTTTCACATAGTAAGGAAACAGTATTTTCCCTATTCTGTTGTTCATTTTGCAGTGTACCTTCTGGGAAATTGACTGTGTGAAAGGTGAGAAATCCCTTTCCACTCTGCTGTCCCTCAGTGTATCGTTGGATAATAGGTTTTTTAATGTATTTGAGTTATTGGTTCTGGCTTCTAGCGTTACCTAAATGGTTTCTTATGACACGTATCCATCCTGTTGCATTGTTTTGATGGTTTCATCTGCATCGCCAGCTCTTCATTAGAGGTCTCTTGTGCACAACAACAGTATTCACCGACAACAGTGTGCATGTCAGTGTTACTATCGTATTACTACTATTACCAATAGTATCCTCATTAGTATTATGACTATCATTGGGTCTGTCAGCACTCCATCTCTACTTTACTACTTAAATTAAAACCTCCATCTGTGTGTGTGTGTGTGTGTGATGGACTGTTTTTATCCTATGCTATCGTAAAAATAAAAGCAAAATTAAAAGAAATGGTTTTATGGATATTTTCTTAAGTGGGGTAGTAAGAGCACCTACAACATCTACCCTGTACTAGACATCTTTACCATCAGACTGACTGACCAGTCAAACAGGTTCTTACCATCGCCCATAAACTACAGGAGAAGAGAGATCTAAGTACTAGTATTAGTGGAAAGAATGCAACAGAAATCAAGCGTTACCAGTATTTTTGTTCCACAACATGGAATGCATCAGACATGGACCAGTCACAATGCATTCCTAGGAAGTGGCAATAAAATGCATTTCACAGAATTGACAATGTCATGTCATCCATTTATTTAATTCATTGACTCAATTAATTATTGGACATTACATATGAAAGAGATGTCGGACAATAAGACACTAAGGTACAGTAGTAGGTGTGAATTGACATTACAACTCCCAGGAAAGCCAGTCTGCAGAGACCACATCTCCCCACAGTCAGGGAGGGGGAAGTGAGACAAACACAATGACATGGAGAGGCCAATGGAATAGAGAGAAACAGGCAATGAACAGAAGCAGTTTACCATTGAGTATTTCCATCATTAGTTTAAAAGGGATGGTTTAAGAGGGTGGTTGTTGGGCTTTGACTACTAGAGGACAGATCAGGTAGGAGGCTGTCGGGTTAGCATCATCTCGCATACACCAATAATCATTCAGTTACCCAATCAAAGAGATTAGCCTCTTAGAAGGAGCCATTAGAATTGTGCATCGGATCAAACCATGATATCCTCCTTAAATTGCAGGTGCATCTCCCTTTCAGAGAGAGAGACAGAGGGCTCCTTCATCTGCCTCTCTAACCATTAGATAGGTGAATGTTCCTATACAATTTACTGTCTGGAATGTCCAGTTCAAAGTCACAGAGAACAGCTGGAACATTCCAGTGGGTGGTGGGGCTGGTAAGGGTTTTCCCTACAATCCTTCACCACACCCCAGTCTCATCCTCCACATTAGTTTTCACCCAGTTTAAGGCGGGCAAACTGGTTGGCCATCTGTAGTGCCTCTTCTATGCAGTGTGTGTTCCTGCCAGTGGCCTGGGCAGACATATCCTTGCCACCACCCTTGCCATCCATCAGAGGGCAAAGCTCCTGCACCCACTCACTGGCCTTCAGACCCCGTTTGGCAACATCCTGGTAGAGGAGAAAATCAACAGATAAGATACTGTCCCAAGAAAATATGCAGGTTATTGCATTAAACACAAATAAGGAGCTCATCTGTGAATTATAGTGTGCATGGATGCAAACACACATGTAGGTTGAGCGCATGGCTTACCTGGGGCACCTGGCATAAACAGATTATCTTTCCAGCTTCGTTGTCTACAGTGAAAAGCATAGCAGCAGTCTGGGGGGACTGGGTCTTCAGCATCTTCAGAGACTCATTCAGAGCCTGGGACAGAGAAATGCAGACAAAGATCAGGTAAGAATTACACTTCTGATTAGAATTGAGGGATCTCAATCTGTGCTGTGTTGTGGTATGGTATTTTTTGGGATGCAGTGGAAAGGAAAGGATGCTATTGTTACCTTGGCAGAGGCTCCACTTTCCATCTCCATGACTACCAGTGGCTGGTTAGGACTGCTGTCAATCATCTCCTTGGTCTTTTCAAGAACCTGGGGGAGGGGAGGGGGGTGGAGAGCACTCAACCATGAGAAACACCACTCTTTTAGAATGGCCCTGCATACCATTTTCTGACATGTACTAATCCCTTCACCCAGTCATAAAACCTCTATCAACCCCCCTTAGCCTAGGCCTGGCCCCCCGCTCTCTCTCACCCTCTTCTGGACATCAGCCTTGTTGGAACGGTCCAGGTCATCCATGGTCTTCTTCAGGCCCTTCAGAGCCTCCCTCATCTCATCTTTCTGCCACTGGGAGATCACTGCCAAGCCCAGAGACTGCAACAACACAGAACAGAGACTGAATAAGTAAACAAACAGACAAACAAACAAACAGGTAAACAGACACAGGCAGGCAGATAGTGCTGTGACAGCTCTCACCTCTGTCATGTCAGCGATTTCCTTCTGCACGTCTTTATTGGGGGCGGTCTGAGCCTTCACCTTCTCCCCCAGAGCAGACAGAGACTGTCTCAGAGCATCTGCTTTCCTCTGGGCCTGGACAGAGCAGGGTGGGGTGGGGGTTCAAGTCAATGTTAGAGAACAAAATAGACAGTTACTGTTGAGTAAATAGCTGCTACGAAAAGAGCTATACCTATACGGATCATAAACCAGTTATTTTACTAAAAAGCTGTAGTATAATGAAGAACACAAATTTCAAAACATCCAGCAACAGTTGGGAACATTTCTGTCCTCTCACCTTCTGTGCCTCTGCTCCTGTCACTGCAACGATACGGCGGATTCCCTTGGCGATGGCCTCCTCTGACACGATGACAAAAGGTGCAGCATGGCCAGAGTTCCGCAAGTGCCTGAAGTTATACATGGAATGTAAGGAAAAAACTGAACAACATTCTCATGGTAAATTCTCAAACAAAATATCTGTACTTCTGAATCATGAGATGTAATTATGCAAATAAATGCATTTGCTCCATTTCCAAGGGACTGGTCCTCTGAACTAAAGGTGCGCTTTGTACTCACGTTCCTCCACAGAACTCGATGGAGGTGAGAGAGCCGGCAGCGCTGCTGGGGTCAGCCAGGAGGTCAGCCACGGGGATGCCGATGGACACCACGCGCACCGGGTCAGGGTAGGTCTCATCAAACACAGCCCGTAGTCCCTGGATGGCTTTAGCTGCTGCCAGGGGGGCATCCATGGCATAGACAGGCTGTAGAGAGACAGAAAGAACGGATGTCGTGACTTGATAATACTTGCTTGAAAACATTGCATTCTGTGAGGAGGAGGAGAGAATAATGACAGGTGCCTTGGGCTGACATATTGTATAACAGTAAAAGGGAGATGAGGCGGAATGTTAAGGTGCAATGCTGTTGTTTGCCCAAGAAGAAGCAAAACAGCCCAGGAATGCTTAGATAAAACAACACAAAAGGCCTGAGATCAATAACACCAGAAACCAAAGATCTCAGTGTAAATACAACACTTGATCAAACAGAAACTTACCCCTACTCATACTTTCAGTGCCCTGTGACCTCTCACCTTTGAGTCACGGATCATGGCGCAGGCAATCTCCTCTGTGCGTCGCACCTCTCCTGTGCTCAGAGCACCCTTGGCGGTGAAGTCAAAGCGCAGGCGGTCAGGAGCCACCAGGGAGCCACGCTGGTCAGCCTCTCCCAGGACCCCCCGCAGGGCAAAGTTCAGGATGTGGGTGGCAGTGTGGTTACTCATGATGGGCCTACGACGAGCCTGAGAGAGGGGGTGGAGGTTGGACAATAGACAGAGACGTAATTCATTTTTTTCAATATCAAGTCAGTTGAGGAAATATCTCAAAACGGAGTCATAAAATTAACTTTTGAGTGATGCATTACCTCGTCCACGTGCAGGATGACGCAATCGCCCACCTTCAGAGTGCCATAAACCGTTCCTACGTGCATCACATATCCACCCCGAACCTGAGTGTTCTTCACTGTGAACTCCATCCTCTGAGGAAGGGAGTAACATGTAGTGTGATATGGCTTTTACAACTTAGTGATGTGTCCTCACATTATTTTATTTTTTTAAGGGGGTAGATCAACTTTAATATTGCAGATAGATTAAAACTTCCATCAATGTAATTGTCTGCATCGCTTCCAATCCCCCATATGTTTTTTTTCTTCTCGCAAATAGAAATATAAATATATGGGGTTGGAATGTAAAAAAGGGAAATATATTTTAGAAAAGTGTATGTGTGTAAATATATACAGAGAGGGAAAAAAGTATTTGATCCCCTGCTGATTTTGTACGTTTGCCCACTGACAAAGAAATTATCAGTCTCTAATTTTAATGGTAGGTTTATTTGAACAGTGAGAGACAGAATAACAACAAAAAAATCCAGAAAAACAAATGTCAAAAATGTTAAATTGATTTGCATTTTAATGAGGGAAATAAGTATTTGACCCCCTCTCAATCAAAAAGATTTCTGGCTCCCAGGTGTCTTTTATACAGGTAACGAGCTGAGATTAGGAGCACACTCTTAAAGGGAGTGCTCCTAATCTCAGTTTGTTACCTGTATAAAAGACACCTGTCCACAGAAGCAATCAATCAGATTCCAAACTCTCCACCATGGCCAAGACCAAAGAGCTCTCCAAGGATGTCAGGGACAAGATTGTAGACCTACACAAGGCTGAAATGGGCTACAAGACCATCGGCAAGCAGCTTGGTGAGAAGGTGACAACAGTTGGTGCGATTATTCTGGGGCTCCATGCAAGATCTCACCTCGTGGAGTTGCAATGATCATGAGAACGGTGAGGAATCAGCCCAGAACTACACGGGAGGATCTTGTCAATGATCTCAAGGCAGCTGGGACCATAGTCACCAAGAAAACAATTGGTAACACACTACGCCGTGAAGGACTGAAATCCTGCAGCGCCCGCAAGGTCCCCCTGCTCAAGAAAGCACATATACAGGCCCGTCTGAAGTTTGCCAATGAACATCTGAATGATTCAGTGGAGAACTGGGTGAAAGTGTTGTGGTCAGATGAGACCAAAATCGAGCTCTTTGGCATCAACTCAACTCGCCGTGTTTGGAGGAGGAGGAATGCTGCCTATGACCCCAAGAACACCATCCCCACCGTCAAACATGGAGGTGGAAACATTATGCTTTGGGGGTGTTTTTCTGCTAAGGGGATAGGACAACTTCACCGCATCAAAGGGACGATGGACGGGGCCATGTACCGTCAAATCTTGGGTGAGAACCTCCTTCCCTCAGCCAGGGCATTGAAAATGGGTCGTGGATGGGTATTCCAGCACGACAATGACCAAAAACACACGACCAAAGCAACAAAGGAGTGGCTCAAGAAGAAGCATATTAAGGTCCTGGAGTGGCCTAGCCAGTCTCCAGACCTTAATCCCATAGAAAATCTGTGGAGGGAGCTGAAGGTTCGAGTTGCCAAACGTCAGCCTCGAAACCTTAATGATTTGGAGAAGATCTGCAAAGAGGAGTGGAACAAAATCCCTCCTGAGATGTGTGCAAACCTGGTGGCCAACTACAAGAAACGTCTGACCTCTGTGATTGCCAACAAGGGTTTTGCCACCAAGTACTAAGTCATGTTTTGCAGAGGGGTCAAAAACGTATTTCCCTAATTAAAATGCAAATCAATTCAATTCAATTTTTTGACATGCGTTTTTCTGGATTTTTTTGTCGTTATTCTGTCTCTCACTGTTAAAATAAACCTACCATTAAAATTATAGACTGATCATGTCTTTGTCAGTGGGCAAACGTACAAAATCAGCAGGGGATCAAATACTTTTTTCCCCTCACTGTATATATACAGTGGGGAAAAAAAGTATTTAGTCAGCCACCAATTGTGCAAGTTCTCCCACTTAAAAAGATGAGAGAGGCCTGTAATTTTCTTCACAGGTACACGTCACAAAATGTATGCACGCATGACTGTAAGTCGCTTTGGATAAAAGCGTCTGCTAAATGGCATATTATTATTATTATTATTATTATTATATTATTATTATTATATTATTTATTATTATTATTATTATTATTATTATATTATATTATTATATTATTATTATTTATATTATATATTATTATTATTATTATTATTATATTATTATTATCATTATTATTATTATATTATTATTACGTCAACTATGACAGACAAAATGAGAAGAAAAAAAATCCAGAAAATCACATTGTAGGATTTTTTATGAATTTATTTGCAAATTATGGTGGAAAATAAGTATTTGGTCAATAACAAAAGTTTCTCAATACTTTGTTATATACCCTTTGTTGGCAATGACACAGGTCAAACGTTTTCTGTAAGTCTTCACAAGGTTTTCACACACTGTTGCTGGTATTTTGGCCCATTCCTCCATGCTGATCTCCTCTAGAGCAGTGATGTTTTGGGGCTGTCGCTGGGCAACACGGACTTTCAACTCCCTCCAAAGATTTTCTATGGGGTTGAGATCTGGAGACTGGCTAGGCCACTCCAGGACCTTGAAATGCTTCTTACGAAGCCACTCCTTCGTTGCCCGGGCGGTGTGTTTGGGATCATTGTCATGCTGAAAGACCCAGCCACGTTTCATCTTCAATGCCCTTGCTGATGGAAGGAGGTTTTCACTCAAAATCTCACGATACATGGCCCCATTCATTCTTTCCTTTACACGGATCAGTCGTCCTGGTCCCTTTGCAGAAAAACAGCCCCAAAGCATGATGTTTCCACCCCCATGCTTCACAGTAGGTATGGTGTTCTTTGGATGCAACTCAGCATTCTTTGTCCTCCAAACACGACGAGTTGAAGTTCTATTTTGGTTTCATCTGACCATATGACATTCTGCCAATCCTCTTCTGGATCATCCAAATGCACTCTAGCAAACTTCAGACGGGCCTGGATATGTACTGGCTTAAGCAGGGGGACACGTCTGGCACTGCAGGATTTGAGTCCCTGGCGGCGTAGTGTGTTATTGATGGTAGGCTTTGTTACTTTGGTCCCAACTCTCTGCAGGTCATTCACTAGGTCCCCCCGTGTGGTTCTGGGATTTTTGCTCACCGTTCTTGTGATCATTTTGACCCCACGGGGTGAGATCTTGCGTGGAGCCCCAGATCGAGGGAGATTATCAGTGGTCTTGTATGTCTTCCATTTCCTAATAATTGCTCCCACAGTTGATTTCTTCAAACCAAGCTGCTTACCTATTGAAGATTCAGTCTTCCCAGCCTGGTGCAGGTCTACAATTTTGTTTCTGGTGTCCTTTGACAGCTCTTTGGTCTTGGCCATAGTGGAGTTTGGAGTGTGACTGTTTGAGGTTGTGGACAGGTGTCTTTTATACTGATAACAAGTTGAAACAGGTGCCATTAATACAGATAACGAGTGGAGGACAGAGGAGCCTTTTAAAGAAGAAGTTACAGGTCTGTGAGAGCCAGAAATCTTGCTTGTTTGTAGGTGACCAAATACTTATTTTCCACCATAATTTGCAAATAAATTCATAAAAAATCCTACAATGTGATTTTCTGGATTTTTTTTTCTGAATTTGTCTGTCATAGTTGACGTGTACCTATGATGAAAATTACAGGCCTCTCTCATCTTTTTAAGTGGGAGAACTTGCACAATTGGTGGCTGACTAAATAGTTTTTTCCCCCACTGTATATACACTGCTCAAAAAAATAAAGGGAACACTTAAACAACACAATGTAACTCCAAGTCAATCACACTTCTGTGAAATCAAACTGTCCACTTAGGAAGCAACACTGATTGACCATAAATGTCACATGCTGTTGTGCAAATGGAATAGACAACAGGTGGAAATTATAGGCAATTAGCAAGACACCCCCAATAAAGAAGTGGTTCTTCAGGTGGTGACCACAGACCACTTCTCAGTTCCTATGCTTCCTGGTTGATGTTTTGGTCACTTTTGAATGCTGGCGGTGCTTTCACTCTAGTGGTAGCATGAGACGGAGTCTACAACCCACACAAGTGGCTCAGGTAGTGCAGCTCATCCAGGATGGCACATCAATGCGAGCTGTGGCAAGAAGGTATGCTGTGTCTGTCAGCATAGTGTCCAGAGCATGGAGGCGCTACCAGGAGACAGGCCAGTACATCAGGAGACGTGGAGGAGGCCGTAGGAGGGCCTATGATGAAAATTACAGGCCTCTCTCATCTTTTTAAGTGGGAGAACTTGCACAATTGGTGGCTGACTAAATACTTTTTTCCCCCACTGTATAACCCGAATTGCCATTGTATTACATTACATTTTTGACAAGCAATTCTTATTTTAGCAAACAATTATTGTGGTTCATCCTATATTCTCCCTAACATCCTTACCTCCTTGCAACAGATGTGGGATAAACACACACGCACACTCTAACACACTAAACCCCTTTCTTCCACAATCAACCATAAAATCAGATGCTCAACGGTTGTTACATCCCAGAGCCCAACTCAAGAAAGGACCTGATTTACGAATGCATATACAGTTACAGCTGTTTGAGAAAGCATGCAAGACTGAGCAAAAATTTACAACAATGTGAGATTTGATTACTCTATTTAATCTATGTCAAGTCCTAGGTGATGGAGATCAGATCCACCCTCTTCACCTGAGACACAAACACTCTGGTCCCCCGTTGTAACCATTTTTCCCAAGCATCTCTGTGCAGTCAGACCTTTGATTATTTTGTGCCACCTGGGCCACAATGATAAGCCCCCTCTCTGATTGTCCGAGTGTGACCTCCTCCTCATGGGTTACTGCAGCCAGTGTTGCCAGCACTGAAACTACCTGGGTACCCCACCGGAATCCCCACCGGCTAGGTACAAGGTCGTCAAGGTTCTCATTAGCAGCTTTGAGAATTTCCTTGTACATTATGCTCTCCCATCAGAGGGCTCTGGCTTTGTAGGACCAACCCTGCCAGGCAGGCTCAGAATCTTGAGGGGTAGCGGTGCTGCTTAAGTAGGTCTCTGACCGCATTTATTTTCTGTTTTGGCTGCATATAGGCAACTCACAGCAGGTCCATAAAACAGATGGGGACTTCTCTTTGGTGTATGGGTCGCTCAGGTGGGTGTCTAGGATATAGGGTTGGGGATCATTCCATCATGATAGGACAATAAAAACATATATTAGATGTATACTATATTTTAAAATGTATATCCCTCATCTGCACAAAATTGAAAGCTCTCTCTCACAACCCCTGCTCACAGACACACGTTGGTCCTGGGATATGCAAACATTTTCTTTCTCACTCACTTAAACGCCACACTTATTCAAAACACAAAAAACGTACACCACACCTTCCATCACAATTCAGCCACACATACCCACATACTGTGCCTTCTATGTCTTCTGTTTGCTATGTTTTTATCTCCTCTATGTTGATTGAGTACTTGTGTTCTAATTTAGTTGTATTTGAAGATTTAGCTTGTTTTAGCTTGTTATCTTTTCTTGTAATACCGTCTTATCCCTTTATTTACATTTACGTCATTTAGCAGACGCTCTTATCCAGAGCGACTTACAAATTGGTGCATTCACCTTATAGCCAGTGGGATAACCACTTTACAATATGTTTTTTTTTTTTTTGGGGGGGTGGGTGGGGTAAGGGGGGGTAGAAGGATTACTTTATCCTATCCCAGGTATTCCTTAAAGAGGAAACCTTTATAAAATACTATACCTACTATAAAATGTGCTTTATTATTACAATCCCTACCATGGCTAGTATTGGGTGTTCTATTATTCGACGACTCTATTAGAACTTTCAGAATAGCCATGGAGTAGTCTTTGTGTCGTGTAATATTTGGTTGTCAATATATAGTTTATCGACAACAAGAGCAACATGCTTCCCTTTTAATCTATTTTCCTTGAAGATTGGGTACAGAACTTTGCGCCTTTCTGCAATCTCCCTCGGGAACTGATCATTCATGCCTATTTTCGTGCCAGCAAGTCTTTTACCTAGGCTTTTAACCATTACTTTTATCCTTAAAAAAAGCACATTTGGCAACGATTGGACGCTCATATCTCTGTCCTCTTTGTCCAAAACGGTGTACACGTTCGAGTTGGATTTTGTCGACAGCCTCGAGTGGAATTTGAAGCGCTGTAAGAAAGAAGTCCTTCACAATTTTTTCTGTAATCTTTCCCTCTTTTTCCTGGATATATTTACATTACATTTTAGTCATTTAGCAGACGCTCTTATCCAGAGCGACTTACAGTTAGTGAATACATTATTTTTTAAATTTATTTTTTTATACTGGCCCCCCATGGGAATCGAACCCACAACCCTGGCGTTGCAAACGCCATGCTCTATCAACTGAGCTACATCCCTGCCGGCCATTCCCTCCCCTACCCTGGACGACGCTGGGCCAATTGTGCGCCGCCCATGAGTCTCCCGGTCGCGGCCGGCTGCGACAGAGCCTGGATTCGAACCAGGATCTCTAGTGGCACAGTTAGCACTGCGATCAGTGCCTTAGACCACTGCGCCACTCAGGAGCTTGGATACCCGTAAGTACTAGATTTTCTCTCATCGATCTAGTTTGTATGTCTAGTAAGGCTTCTCCTTGAAAGTTGTTCTCCTTTTTAAGTTCCTTAACGTCCGTTTCCATCCTAGTGACTGTCCCTTTTAGTTTTTTTGTATCGCTCTCCATTATCACAGCTTTTCAGTCACTCATTTCAAGACTCGCCTTCAACTCTTTTACATCATTACTGACCAACTCTAGTATGCCCAGTTTGTCATTTATCGACTTCAACAGATCGCTTTCCACACTTATCAGTCCCAGTTGTGAAAAGCATAAATCATCTGTATCAGTCGAGGAGTTGCGTTTCCTCTTGGAGATTGATTCTCCTCGTTTATCTTCGTCATGTTTGGGTGTTGCATGTTGTTGTAATATTTGTCGATACATTTCTCTAGCCTTATAATTTGTTTTGTGTTATTATCCAGATTGAATGTTATTGAACTGTTTGATATGCTTGTTACAATAATGGCCAACATAGCTTGATTGTCCTTACGTCATCTCCAGAGTCGTCCTCCCTCAGCATGTAGCCCTCGTCGAAGCTCTGTCCTCCCTGCTCAGCATAGAATGAGGTCTGGTCCAGCAGAACCCCACACTCCTGCCCCGTCGTTACCTCATCCACGAAGGCGCGCTCCCTTCTCAGAGCCAGCACCGTCCCCACAGCCTGCTCAAACTCTGGGACAACCACAGAAACATATCAAGAGATTAAACACAGACACAAGCAAGAAACTGATTTGAATAAATATCAAGCAAACCATCTTTGAGTTGGTTAATGAAATTGAGTTGATTTTGTTTGTCTTACCATATTTGCCACTGTTGTCAGCACTGTAGCTATACTTGGGTGCGTCGTCAGTAGCAGCGATGCCCTTATTGCGTAGGTCCTCGATGGCATAGATGTCCAGCATGATGTGGTCCTCATCCCCAGAGCCCTTCCCCTGGGACTTAATCTGAGCGGGCAGGACATGGAGGAGATGGCCTTAGACCAAATCCCCAATCTCTGTTCTATTTCTATTGCAAAAAACCTCCAACTAACTTTACTCTAATGCTGGATCAGTCATTCATTATGCTGAAGCATCATACTCATTCTTTAGATAGAAAGCCAACTTGCATGTTTAGCACCGATATCATATGGCTTTATTGAAGTGATTTTGACCTTTTTCAGTATGAATTACCATTGCAATGTAATGGATCTGTAATGTACTGTAAATACTGCTTTATCCAATCAGCAGAGCAAGGCATATCTCACTTAATAGTGCAATACTGACTGAGAAATGCTGACAGAGAGGAAAGCATTCCTGGCTTTGTACATCCACAAAGCAGTCCTCAGACAGGCATTTTCCCCCTCTACAGGCAAATGAAAAAATTCACATAAACTCCCATGCCAATCCAAGGCTATCTTTTCTACTGGTCACCATTTCTCCACTCTCACCTGGGCAGCCCTCTTCTCCTCCTCAAAAGCTGGAACGTCCACCATCATCCCCCTCTCCTCAGCGATGAGGGCAGTGAGATCCAGGGGGAAACCGTATGTGTCATACAGCAACCAGGCAGTGTCACCTACACAGGGAGAGAACGAGAGGAGAAAAGGGTTCAGAAACATTCTGTTTTGACAACAACGTAAATGTTTCTAATTGATCCCATATTCTAATGTGGCCCTTCAGTACCAGGGATGGTCTTGCTGTCTCCCAGACTCTGGATCTTTCTGTCCAGGATCTTTCGCCCCCTGCTGAGCGTCTTGAGGAACTGCTCCTCCTCCTCATTGATGATATCCTTCACCATGTCAGGGTCCTTCTTCAGCTCAGGGAAGGCATCACCCTGGAGAGAGGGGACAGCAGGGGAAGACAGGAGGATGACTAAGAGGGAGAGAGAGATATTGATAGTTAATAACATGAAGAGTAGGAGTGGGATGAGATTTCTTACCAGGGACTCTACCACCACGTCAACTAGGGTAGCAAAGAAGCCTCTCTGAGCACCCAGCTTCTCGTGAGAGTACCTCACAGCACGACGCAGGATCCTCCTCAACACATAACTGCACACAGACAGAGGGAGAGGGTTGACATGTGCACATTAAGAGACTGATGTTCAGACAAACACAGATCAAAGACAGCCAGACAGTTAAAAGGGCTCACCCTCTCCCTGTGTTGTCTGGCCTGCCCCCGTCAGAGAGGGCGATGGTGATGGTGCGGGCGTGGTCAGCCAGGACACGGTAGGCCATGTCAATGCCATCTACGTCCTCAGCACCAACCTTTCCTGTGTAGTCCCTGGCTCCTGTGCCCTGTTTGGAACAACCACAGTGGTACAGTCAGCTAGGCCATTCAGAGCAAAGAGAACACACAATTCAATAAATAATGACTGGTAGTGGTGCTTGCCTTCTGGATGGCCTGGAAGTAGGGGATGAACAGGTCTGTGTCATAGTTGGACATCTTGTTCTGCAGCACAGAGACCAGACGCTCCAGACCCATGCCTGTATCAATACTCTTCTTAGGCAGGGGCTTCAGCTCTGTCTCAGACTCCCTGGTGAGGGGGAGGGGGAAACAGGTTCAGTGACATCATAATGCTTGTATGTGACTATGTGCGCATCTGCATATGTATTATACATAACTTGAACTGTTTGAACTTGAACAAGGGACTCCATGTGGGCATACGTTTAGAACACATAACACAGCTTATTACACGCCACTTGTTTTACATGTTTTGTGGGCCTCCTGTAGCTCAGTTGGTAGAGCATGGCACTTGCAACGCCAGGGTTATGGGTTCGTTTCCCACGGGGGGCCAGTATGGAAAATGTATGCACTCACTAACTGTAAGTCGCTCTGGATAAGAGCGTCTGCTAAATGACTAAAATGTCAAATGTATCCAGGCTCTGTCGTAGCCGGCCGCAACCGGGAGACCCATGGGTCGGCGCACAATTGGCCCAGCGTCGTCCACGGTAGGGGAGGGAATGGCCGGCAGGGATGTAGCTCAGTTGGTAGAGCATGGCGTTTGCAACGCCAGGGTTGTGGGTTGGATTCCCACGGGGGGCCAGTATATAAAATAAAAAAATCATGTATGCACTCACTAACTGTAAGTCGCTCTGGATAAGAGCGTCTGCTAAATGACTAAAATGTAAATGTAATGTTTTACCTGTTGAACTGGATGAACACCAGGTTCCAGATCTCCAGCACGTTGGGGTCGTCCATATTGACCAGGTGGGCAGCATCTCTCCCCCCGATGCGATCAAAGTGGATCTCACTGCAAGGCCCACAAGGACCTGTGTCCCCCATCTCCCAGAAGTTGTCCTTCATGCTGCCGGGCAGAATACGAGCCTCGTCCATCCTGTCACCCAGAGAGGACACACAGGTAAAACAGGTGAGACAGAGAGGGCACAGTGGGAGCAGGTAGGGAGGGAATGTAGGCACAGAGAGAGAAAACTACTGTTTTTGTAACCAGCAGAGTGCCATCTAGAGGTTTGAAAAGGGTACCGTACCCTGAGAGACTTATCACCCAACACAGTGTTACTAACCACATTAACAAGAGTAGAAAGGGGGCAGCCTATTTGTAAAATTCAGGTAGATCTGGATACCTAATGGATACCCTACACCTGAAACTCACTCACCCGAGGTCCAGCCAGATCTGTTTACACTCCAGATCCGGCTCCAGCCCAGCTTCTTCGTGACCCCCGAAGTAGGTGGCATACAGGCGCTCGATGGGAATCCCAAACTCCTTAGTCAGCAACTCCAGGGCCATGGTACAGGCAAGATGCTGCAGGGAGAGGAGTCAGCAGGAAAGGAAATTAGAGACAATTAAAGCAATAAATCTTCCTAACACGCAAACACATCGACATTTACATAGTGATAATCGTTGACACACATCAACACCTTTCATCTTGAGAGACTTGTTAAATGTTGCTGCATCACAACAGATCAGATGACAACACTGTCTAACAGGCGGTTGGTTGGTCTGCCTGGTTTACCTTAAAGTAGTCTCCGAAGGACCAGGAGCCCAGCATCTCAAAGAAGGTGTGGTGGTACACGTCCTTGCCCACATCATCCAGGTCATTGTGCTTGCCCCCAGCGCGGATGCACTTCTGTGTGTTAGCTGCACGCTTGAGTCTGGCCATGGGGTGGGACGGGTCAATGGTGTTCAGGAAAATAGGTTTGAACTGGGAGGGGTTGGTGGGGGGAGAGAGAGGGTAGATAAGAAAGATGGAGAGATAACCATTGGGATGAGTACAAGTTGGACTTTCATCAAATAGCCTAATAACAATACAACTGAAAAAAAGCTTCAAATATGGACAAACTGATATCAGGAGAGTGGAACATCTGTTTTAGGACAAGACATGCCCAGAGGGTATATTTCCACTATGCCAAGACAGTCACTGAGGTGAGAGGTCTTGATTAGCCAATGGGGCCACACTTACTATGGACCTGCAGATGGGAAGGAGGGGGTAGAGATTGTTGGATGGGCAGTGATAGTATTGTAGCGTACCTGGTTCATGCCAGCGTTGGCGAAGAGCAGTGTGGGGTCGTCCAAAGGTATGGTGGCCGACGAGTGGACATACTGGTGTTCATGAAGACGAAAGAAGTCAATGAACTTCTCACGGATCTGAGCAGCAGTCAGTGAAGTGTCCATTCTGAAAGGGCTGCCGACACAGGAATGATCACACATAGGAAAAACATTTAGTAACAAACACATTAATTGCCAGTGAGGGAGAGGGTATGGGTAGGCAGTAGAGCTGGGACAATAAACAGAAAATTATCGACACCGACCATACCGATTCACTTATCGCAGGCATTTTGCTGATATCGTTGATTACTATGTAGCCTATACTAGAGAAATGTGACATTTTAAATCAAATAAGTTTGCTAATATGGGTGATTGTTAATGGGGCAATTGATGGCTACAACCATCAAACTAGTAGAAGTAGTAGTTTAAAGGATCATTAATGTTATAGACTTATCATCGTATTTATAATTCAGGCAATTTATTGCGATATGGATTTTTCTCCACATCGCCCAGCTCAAGTAGGCAGGTGTGAATACTGAACCTAATAAGCTCAAATTCCAATTAAATTGTTATTCATCCTTGCTTCCATTGCAAATGCTGAAGCAATATTTTGCCATCAAGTAGGAAATGGAAAAATGGGCTCTACACAACATTAAATCTGCTTTTGGCAAACTTAATAAATTTCACCAAAATTCATGCAAAAACAAAGTTACAGCACATCCCTTGTCTGGTCTAATAAAACACCAATTGGATCTTCCTTCCACTAGGATATCCTTGTATAAAAAGCATGTTTATGGTCGGGTTGGCCTTATTCTCGATCTTGAGAAAATACCATCAGGGTCTGTCTAGGCCTTTAGAGTAGACCCATTATCTTCACCACTGAATGTTCACGCTTTACAGCTGGCCAGGCAGCTATAAATTCATTGAACTCACTTTGATATTCTAAACTTTAATGCAAAACCATAATTAGAAGGTAAAGGTGACAGAGGTCCTATTCCCTGTGGTGGGATCCAGGAAATCCCACAGCTGGTGCAGACAGCCCCCAGGGGAAGACACGCGGATGGTAAACAGCCCATGTCCCGGTCCTGACTACCGAATCTCCGAGTTAAATAACAACCGCACGCAAGCTCCTTTTCACAGCAAGTTCATCCTGCAATTGTAACGTTAACTTCTGACCGTAGTGATTTTTCTAATCCATCCATAGTACATCCTCGTGCTAAAATGAGCCTGTTACATTGAGCCCTTCTCCGTCTCCCCTTGCAAATTCGTTGGCTGGCAATGTATTACAAAAATAAACCAATTAGCTAGCTTGATAGCTAACTTGTCTAACATTACTGTCGCTAGCTTTACGTTAACGTTACATTGTTGCTAGCTAAGCTTGCCACCCCTCGATAGCTAACGGTAGCTAGCTGGCCTGTTAACTAGCCAACTAAAGAGCTTGCTGAAACTAGTTAGCTATTGAGGGGTGGCAATCGATTGGTCGACATTTTTTAACTTCTTTGTCCATATATAGACAGACACATCCTATGTGTTAGTATACAATTAACTATGCACTGAGCTTGTCTGATGCTTTAAGCACACTGTTTGATTAAATAATTAAGACACACAAATGACTCAAGAAAGAGCCCGATGGTCACACTGTGTTAAATAATATGACAGCGAGTGCCTGTGTGACTGGCGCACGTTGTCTCGCTCTCCTCCCTACAGCAGCGAAAAGGCACCACAGCACAGCAAGTTGCAACATCATTTCAGCCATTTAGTTTCTAACTTGTTTCTGACTGAAAAGTTGTTACCGAAATCCCTAATTTGTTTCAGAAAAACCTGACCTATTCCCTTAACCCTTGCTCTCTTTATGTGAAACATGTAAGCATTGCATGCATGTGACCAATAGGGCCTGAAATATAGCCTATCATATTCACATCAATAAACTGGTAATAACAAACTCCGAACACAGTAACACGACAGCAGAATGCATGCGGAGGAAGTGAAAAAGAAACTCGAAACGGGCGAATGTTAACTGGTTGCTCAGGAGGGAAAGGGGAAGTCAGATCTGTGGAAGACATTTGACTTAGTTGTGGAAACTACTGGAGATCAAGAAAAAGGAAGGTATAGGAGCAAGCGTTGCGTGAGTATTATGTGTGCCAAACAGTTGCTGTTAGATTACAATATTATAATTTTTTCGGACCATTTGGAACAGTGTAAACAACACTAAATAAATAAGTGTACTAGAGAGTCAGTTCTAACAGAAAAAAAAGTATATTTAAAGCCTTTATTACAGCAGACTACAAACAGTTGCATTTGTGAATTGTGGTTTATTTATTGTTTAGGCTAATTATTCAAAGCTCCCTTTGTTATTTAATTTTAAAACTAAAATGATTAATTGCATTTCAAAGCATGAATGTCTCGTATGCTGTGTGATGGCATGAACGAATGAATGATTGATTGATTCAGTAGCCTATATATTTAAATATAGGCAAAGTAAGTTACGATATTAAGACTAAACAGGACGCGCTCTTAGGCCTACAGCTCGATGGTGGTTATACAAGGCTACTATACAAAGCCTACTAATGATAACGATATTACTTATTATTACAATGATGATCCTAATAATAATAGTAATAATAACAATAAGAAGGAGATCAAGAAAAAAACAGGGTATAGGAGCGAGAGCTGCGTGCATATTATGTGTGACAAACAGGTGCTATTAGATTTAAATATGATTTTTCTGCCTGTTTGGAACAGTGTAAACACTAAATAAATTATAAGTAATACCAGTCTGTTCTAACAACAACAACAACAATTTGCCATTGCATGAGGCTAGGTGCTCACGGAATCAGTAGGCTATTAAAGAAACACTCAAACAGGCAACAGAAGCAAGATTTGTGTTATTTCTTTCGATATATATGGATGATTTATAAAGCCAGGTACATTTAACAGTTAGGCTATTGATTATAGACCTAATTAAGTTGGGGTTTCCTCTCTCCTCAATTTTCTTAAACAATTAGTCTAAGGCAAGGGCTGTTTCCTCGTCTCTGTTGCTGCTGCCTCCGCCGCATTGTTCTCAATCCCAATATGCTGGTTAACATTGCTATTATGCACATAGCAACATAGGGAAAGGTGCCAATTCTACAGCATACTGAAGATTATGTTTCAGAACCGCGGTCAGCGACGGTATCCAATGCGGGAGAAAGTGCATTTATTATAAATTCTACATTTACATTTACGTCATTTAGCAGACGCTCTTATCCAGAGCGACTTACAAATAATATTAGATTCATTAGTGTTGCACCATTATTTTTTACATCATAACCATATACAATTTCAGTATGTCTTAAGAGTGCCATCACCGTGGCCTCCGCAATGGATAAGTCCACTGAGACAGGCGCGAGTCAGACAGGTGCGATTGCTCAATTAAAATAAATCTCGGTCCACCAACAGCCTATCGACCAAACAATCGACTAAATGGGGTCAGCCCTATAGATTACGTTAACTTTGAACTTAGCTAACGTTAGCTAGTTAATACCATGGTAAATCTGATAAGATACAACGTTATCTGTGAATATTATGATGCCATTCTCAAGGCATTCAATGAAATCAGCTTGAGTAGCTAGCAGCTAGCTAACCTGGCTGAACCATAAACTGTAAAAAGAAGGCTGGAACAGAGGTTCTAAACCCAGAGGCGCAACATCGCAAGACTTCCGGGAACGCTTGCGAAACAGACAAAAGAGACCAAGCAGACCAGGCCGGGGTTTGGGGTTTGAGAAGTCAATGAGAGAAGTGAAAAATTCTTCCTTAGTTATTAATTTTCTCTAAATCTAAAGGCACAACCTAGATTGAGCCAATGTCTTAAGTAGTTGAACATGTTATTACTCCAACCACGTGAAAGTGACAAACGTTTTCATATTCGTCAAAAATAACTTTATATCGAAGGAGTGCCTTTGATTTGAGGGCCTTCACATGCGCAGTTTGGTGCTAGTTGACCGTTAGACCCGATGACGTGTTCTACGCATAGATGCGGTAAAGAGGTCAATCGAACTCGACCAAAACAATGGAATTGCCATGGAAACACATGGGGGAAAGATCCCGAGTCTCCTCATTGCCCCCCAGCAAAATGGGCCTACATTTAGGTTATTGTTTATATGTGTATTTCACACTATGTTTAGGTAAAAATCAGAATATAATGATTGTATGGATGTCAACCCCAACACATGTTCATGTCATCGTTACCAATCAATTGAATTACAGTTCAAATCAAATTTGATTACAGCCACCGATTTCCTTTTTTATTCTTTTTGTACTTTGTTTCCCTTTTTCTCCCCAATTTCGTGATATCAATTGGTAGTTACAGTCCCATCGCTGCAACTCCCATACAGACTCAGAGAGGCGAAGGTCGAGAGCCATGCGTCCTCCGAACCTCTGCTGCTTCTTGACACACTGCTCACATAGGAAGCCAGCCACACCAATGTGTCGGAGGAAACACCGTACAACTAGCGACTGAAGTCAGCTGGCAGGCGCCCGGCCCGCCACAAGGAGTCGCTAGAGCGCGATGGGACAAGGACATCCCGGCCGGCCAAACCCTGCCCTAACCCGGACGCGCTGGGCCAATTGTGCGCCCGCCTCATGGGTCTCCCAGTTGCGTCCGGCTGCGACACAGCCTGGGATCGAACCCGATGCAGGGCCTTAGACCGCTGCGCCACTCGGGAGGCACAACCACCGAATTTCTGTATGCTAGCTATGCTAACCAGCTTATATGAACGGGAGTTAGCATTTAGCAGTCACTTTTTCTTAACCTGAAAAGGGACACCTTCTACAGCCTTATTCTAAAATTGATTAAATAAAATGTTTTCCTCAATCTACACACAATACCCCATAATGACAAAGCAAAAACAAGTTTTTAGAAATGTTTGCAATGTTTTAAAAATAAAAAACAGAAATAGCTTATTTACGTAAGTATTCAGACCCTTTGCTATGAGACTCGAAATTCAGCTCAGGTTCCATTGATCATCCTTGAGATGTTTCTACAACTTGATCGGAGTCCACCTGTGGTAAATTCAATTGATTGGACATGATTTGGAAAGGCACACACCTGTCTATGTAAGGTCCCACAGTTGACAGTGCATGTCAGAGCAAAAACCAAGCCATTAGGTCAAAGGGATTGTACGTAGAGCTCTACGAGACAGGATTGTGTCGAGGCACAGATCTGGGGAAGGGTACCAAAACATTTCTGCAGCATTGAAGGTCCCCAAGAACACAGTGGCCTCCATCATTCTTAAATGGAAGAAGTTTGGAACCACCAAGACTCTTACTAGAGCTGGCTGCCGGGCCAAACTGAGCAATCGAGGGAGAAGGGCCTTGGTCGGGGAGATGACCAAGAACCCGATGGTCACTCTGACAGAGCTCTAGAGTTCCTCTATGGAGACGGGATAACCTTCCAGAAGGACATCCATCTCTGCAGCACTCCACCAATCAGGCCTTTATGGTAGAGTGACCAGACGGAAGCCACTCCTCAGTAAAAGGCACATGACAGCCCGCTTGGAGTTTGCCAAAAGGCACCTAAAAACACTCAGAACATGAGAAACAAGATTCTCTGGTCTGATGAAACCAAGATTGAACTCATGCTGTGGGGATGTTTTTCAACGGCAGGGACTGGGAGACTAGTCAGGATCGAGGCAAAGATGAATGGAGCAAACTACAGAGAGATCCTTGATGAAAACCTGCTCCAGAGCGCTCAGGTCCTCAGACTGGGGCGAAGGTTCACCTTCCAACAGGACAATGACCCTAAGCACACAGCCAAGACAAAGCAGGAGTGGCTTTGGGACAAGTCTCTGAATGTCGTTGAGTGGCCTAGCCAGAGCCCGGACTCCAACCTGACAGAGCTTGAGAGGACCTGCAGAGAAGAATGGTAGAAACTCCCCAAATACAGTTGTGCCAAGCTTGTAGCGTCATATCCAAGAAGACTCAATGTTGTAATTGCTGCCAAAGGTGCTTCAACAAAGTACTGAGTAAAGTGTCTGAATACTTTGTAAATGTAATATTTTCGCTTTTTTAATATTTATAAATTAGCAAACATTTCTAAAAACCTGTTATTGCTTTGTCATTATGTTGTATTGTGTGTAGATTGATGAGATGAAAAACAATTTAATCAATTTTAGAATAAGGCTGTAACGTAACACAATGTGGAAAAAGTCAAGGGGTCTGAATACTTTCCGAAGGCACTGTAAGCTATAGATACAACATCCTGTTGAAACAAGGCACGTATAGCTCTATTGTTGTTGAATGGACCAAAAAGAAAAATAAATATTTCCTACTGATGAGTCAACAGGGGTAATTGAAAGTAGGTTCTGAGGGTCAGGTCTTAATAATAATAAGAATAATAAGAATAAGAATAAGAATAAGAATAATAAGAATAATAAAGCAACACCTGAGGGAATGGCATCTAAAACAATTGCAAAGTCTTTAGGTGTTACAGGGATCTTGTAAAGTGATAAGAATTCCTCATAATTTAGTAAGAGACCCGCATTTACAAGTTGGCTCACCAATAGGATATTACTTTGGAACCAATATTCTAAAAACAAAGATGTATTTTTATACAATATGTCCTGATTATTGCAGATATAATATCTGTGTGGAGAGAAATTATGCTTATAAATTAAGGACCATGACAAGAAAACCTGCCGATGAAAAGCAGAGTTTCACTGGAACTTTGTCAATATTATAATTGCAAACCAACATGAAGTTAAGGCCACCAAAAGTATAGAAGACATGATGAGGAATAAAGTTCCACATAGAAGTGGCTCTTCTTAGGAATTGTTTTATCCAATTGATCTTAAAAAGTATTATTTAAGGTAGGAAAGTCCAGAAAATTCAGCCCACCATCCTTATAAGTTTTCATTACAACAGTTTTCCTAATGTAATGGGTACGGTTTCTCCACAGAAAGTTGAAAAGCATCTGGTCTATCTCTTTTCTTATTTTACCATCAAGATATAAAGATAGAGCAGCATATGTTAGTCTAGAGATACCCTGAGCCTTGGTTATTAGGATGCTTCCTTTTAAAGATAAGTCCCTCTGCAGCCATTGATTTAGCTTCTTCTGTTTTTTTTATGAGGGTCAAAATTTAGGAAGCCTCTAGACTTCTGATCCTTAATAATGGTTATGCCTAAATATGTAAGTTCTTCTTTCACTGGAATACCATAATATGAGGGTGTCACACAATCTTTGACAGCCATGAGTTCACATGTATTAATGTTAAGACATACAATCCTTTTCCAAAGCATCTGGTTTATCACATTGATCGATATGAGAATCTGACTAGCGTCTTTCAGAAAAAGTGTAGTATCGTCAGCCAGCTGGCTTATAATAATTTATTTACCAGCTATGGAAATACCTTGTACTGGACTATTATTTTTTAAAATCGTAATTAGTTGGGTGATTAATAAAAACAGATACGGTTAGATAGGACAACCTTGCCTAATTCCTCTCTTTAACTAAAATCTAGGTGAGGTGCCATGTTTCAGTTTGATAGAGCTGTCACCATTCGTATAGAAAGTCTTAATAGCCCTACAGAAAAAGTCCCCAAACCCAAATTCCCCAAGGGAGTGGAAGAGGAACTGATGCTCTACTGTGTCAAATGCTTCATAAAAAATTTTAAAAAGAATAATATGAAGATATCCTCGGTTGTTAGGTCTGAGTAGTCAAGTATGTCTAATCCTAGTCTGATATTGTTAGAAATATGTATGTTCCTTATAAAGCCAGACTGTGTTTCATCAATGATTGCATCCAGGACTTCTTTAATTCTCTTTGCAAGTAGTAAGGCTAATATCTTAAAGTCATTATTAAGAAAGACAAATTGAACGCCAGTTATCGATGAGCAGCACTTATTTTTTAGGTTTAGGGATCAGTGTTATTAAACCCTGACTCATGTAGGAGGGAGAACATTGTTTTTAATACTCTCTAAAAAAAAGACCTCAAGTAGGAAGGGAGCTACTTGTTCAGAAAATAACTAGTAAAATTCTGACGCAATTCCATCAATACCTGGGGATTTATTGTTCTTTAGACGTTTGATAAACTCCATAATCTCTTCCTCCTCCTCTCTGTATGTATACCCGTTTAGCGTACCAGAATGTAAAGTCGCGAGATCAGGATGGTTCGTACAAGGCTACATTCGACCGAATTAAGTAGCTATCTTAGATATAGCTACATACTGTTTTCGTCATTTTGAAAATATGACAGCACCGGTAACTTCAATCAATGAAACATTTGCAATACTCACAGAAGATCCTCTTTCTGATCACCGCTTGCACTGACTTCCCACGCTGGAGCAGTCACTGGAAAACGCAGTGTACCCGCCCATACACACATACTATTGGTTTGACAGCAGTCAAAGATTTGTTTAACTAAATCAAGATAGATCACACCCTGTCGTTTCAAATGGGAACAGATGAGCCATAGTGGGCAGAACAAGCAATGAGGTAGGCAGAGCCAAGCAGGAACTAGCGAGATCCTATTGGCGCGTTCTAGCATTTATTTGCATATTTCCGTTGGGGAACGCCTACGCCTGTGATGTGCGCGTGTGCTATAACTCAATTCACCTTTGCACGCCTTCTAAACAACGCCATTTTAAAAAACTTTGGCAAAGGGTAAAGTCTACTAAACTTAGTCCACTCTGTTCGTAACAGATTGTAGTTTTGGGAACATAAAACTGTATTGAGATCAAATGTTTAATCAATTAGTAAATTAGCATAATGTCGGCCAAAATCCACCTCGTTCCATCTTCCCACTGCCGGCCACTGGGCTTCCTCTCACTACCATATATATTTGGTAGTGAGTGGAACCGCCAACTGGATGCTTGACATTTATACATCCGGTGAAATATCTGTCTCATTGTTCTATCTGTGGCACAGTCACTTCAATGAGACTCAGTTTCTATTGGTTGTAGTTCACTGTCAATCACGTGACCTCACTCGCTCGAACTGGCTGATGCAATGAAAAATAAATAGTCAGTGCAGTGCATTATGTCAAATACATTATAGTTTGATTATGTGGATATATAATTAATACAATTGATATTTTCCGATCCATTAGTGGAACAAATGCATTGTCTGTCACACTATGTATGGCAATAATTATAACATCCCTAGCCTATAAAAGTAAAAGCTTCTGTATTTCCTCAAAGCTTTTTTTCACCATCTGCATTTGATAAAGTATTGTTGTGTAATTTCATGTTACCAGCACATTGAATAATTCATTGTTTTGTTTAATCTCTGCATTCCAGTTCAGCAGGTGATATGGGAGCAGATGTGTGATATTGGAGGAACCTTAAACTGAATGCGATGTTGCCGCGGGATATATTTGGTGTTGTACACACTGTCCCATGTGATCTCTTCGAGCAACAGCAACAGACCAGAGAAGAAAGTAAATAATATTTGAACAAACATAGCACGCGGCCCAGGTAGATACACATTTTGGAAGAACTATTCCCCGACTGATACGAAAAGGGTACGTGGTCCGGAAGTGTCTCAAAGTCCATCTCTCTTTCTGTGTAAAACCGTGGTAAAGAAGTCCTCTGCTCCAAACGACCCCAGGGTGGATGTCTGATCAGTTTTTGGCCGATGTGGGTTGAATAGTAAAGCCAAAGGTTCATCTTATATTGAAGCCGGGAATACGAAGCTCATCTGCTGTGTGTATGGACCGAGAGAGACTGTACGCAAGGATGAGGCCAATATGAAATCCGGAAGACTGATTACTGACATGAGATTTTCCCCATTCTCCTGTCGAGAGTAGGGGCTCGTGGATTCAAGGTAGTGATGAAAAGGATATGTCACTGATGCTGTTGGAGAGCCTAAGGCCAGGCGTGTACTTGCACAAGTATCCTCGCTCTCAGATTGAAGTCAATGTGATGGTCCTGGAAAACGACGGTTCCATCCTGGCACCTGTGCGTCCATGGGGCTGGCAGACGCAGGTATAGAGATGTATGATCTTGTTATTGGTTGCTCAATCCGTCAGGAAGGTGCCACATACCTCATCGACCCTACCTATCTGGAGGAAGATGGGTGCAACTTGGTGTCAGGATCCGGGGAGAATTTGGGTAGCCTGTCAGTTGCATTTCTGCCCAGTCTGAACCAGATATCTGGACTGCAGTCGGATGGTGAGATGGGTGAGGACACCCTGACTGGGGGTGTGCGCACATGCATTGAGGGGTGTTTCAAACTGTACCCTGTCATTCAGCAAGCCCTGTCCAAGGCTGTGCAAAGAAAGGCACCACCATCAGAGAGCTGAGAGACAGATGTTTGTTGCGTGATTTACTCAGGCTTCATCCAATTTAGTTTATGATAAAAATAAAATAAAAAGCCAGTCTTAAAATTTCAATTATTACTGTTTGTTAGGGGTGTAACGATTCGTTTTAACAACGATTCGATTTGTATCACGATTCGTGGTTGTCGATACGATTCAAGGACGATATTGGTTCATTTAGAACGATACGATCCGAAACGATTCAGTGACTTGAAATCGATTCAGTAACCTTTTAGCCAAAAATTCAACCAGTGTGACTGAAATAAATACCTGGATACTGGACAGTGCAGGTGAAGTTTCCTAGATTCCTGTTTCTTGTAAGGACCGCAATGGTGGCTTGATAATTTCTCGCTCGTCGGCTTCTCCTCTGTCGTCCGCCATGCTATGTTTTGTTGTCTTTGCGCCTTTGCGCTGCTGTTGGCGCTATGACGTCACGGATAGGCAGACTAAATCGAGTAATGTTTAAAGCCTTTATCATTAAAAGTGCTAAGAAAAAACATCCATATAAAGTCTGACGTGCTTAAATCCAATGGGTTATTTCCTAGTATCGATACAATCGATTTTGTTGTTTTGACACCTTTCAAATTTCATACGTCTATTAATATTTTATTTGATCATTTATTAATAAAGTCAGCACGAACATGTTTCACATGAGTATAAATGAAGAGCAGATACTACATACATAATGTCTAACGAAGCCACAGCGGTGTACAATATGTGCTTCTAAATAGTGTGCCATATCTTTTAAATACTGTAAGGGTATGGTTACTTTTGTCTCATAGATTGACTCCGGATTTTTGGATTCAGAGGCCCACCTTTCTTTGCCAAGGCTAATAAATCCCTTCATAAGATCATCAAGAACAATAGAAAAAACATCACATTATTTTGCAACTCACTTTCATATTGCATTTACAAGGTTATTTTTTTAAATATAAAAATATACATGATATGATATACATTGTTAATTGACAGTTCACTTGTTACGCACAATCAAAGTGGCAATGCCTTTAACATCCCTTAATCTGTCTGCATCAAAGTCGACCATTAGTTTTCTCAGGCCAGCTCGGGTGGGCTTGAAGGACAACTTGACCTTGACCTCTTGACCTGGGCCAATGTCACCTCTGTAGGAGAAAAGAGAAAGTTTCACCACAAGCACACATTGTTCTTTCAACTCAGTCTTGGTGCACTCCACTAACGGTTAAAATACTGACGGAGGTCTCCTGCTGTGTTCAATGAGGCCATGTCAAACATGTCACGCTATACTGAACAAAAATATAAATGCAACATGGAAAGTGTTGGTCCCATGTTTCATGAGCTGAAATAAAAGATCCCAGTATTTTCCCATATGCACAAAAAGCTTATTTCTCTAAAATTTTGGCCACTAATTTCTTTACATCCCCGTTAGTGAAAATGTGGAGTTGCCAAGATAATCCATCTACCTGACAGGTGTGGCATATAAAAAGCTGATTAAACAGCATGATCATTACACAGGTGCACCTTGTGCTAAGACAATAAAAGGCCACTAAAATGTGCAGTTTTGTTACACAATACAATGCCATAGATGCCTCAAGTTTTGAGGGAGCGTGCAATTGGCATGCTGACTGCAGGAATGTCCACCAGAACTGTTGCCAGATAATTGAATGTTCATTTCTCTACCATAAACCACCACCAACGTCGTTTGGCAGTACTTCCAACCGGCCTCACAACCGCAGACCACGTGTAACCACGCCAGCCCAGGACCTCCACATCCGGCTCCTTCACCTGCGGGATCGTCTGAGACCAGCCACCCGGACAGCTGAAGAAACTGAGGAGTGTTTCTGTCTGTAATAAAGTGCTTTTGTGGGGAAAAACTCATTCTGATTGGCTGGGCCTGGTTTCCCAGTGGGTGGGCCTGGCTCCCAAGTGGGTGGGCCTATGCCCTCCCAGGTCCACCCATGGCTGCGCCCCTGCCCAGTCATGTGAAATCCATAGATTAGGGCCTAATGAATTTATTTCAATTTACTGATTTCTTTATATGAACTGTAATTCAGTAAAATCGTTGAAATTGTTGCATGTTGCATTTATATTTGTGTTCAGTGTATTTTAACACCTCTTGCATGTAAACCAAACACCAGCTCATTCAGAAATGTTGTCTGGTAATAGCAACTTTTTTGTAGCCATATATTTCTGGGAAAGACATTTACATTTACATTTAAGTAATTTAGCAGACGCTCTTATCCAGAGCGACTTACAAATTGGTGACCACACACATACTAAATAGTTTAACATTGAGGTCTCATGGAATTTTAAACTGGATTAGCTGCCAGAAATTACATTTGTGGCTATGTGCTGCTTAGGCTTGGGTGATATACTGTACCTTTTATACCGTATGCCGGGGTATTTCAAAAATACCGATGGTATGATTTTCAATACTCCCCCGAAAAAGTGTTTATTGGGTTGGGGGCACCTGCTACGCCACTGCTTATATATTAAGTTTGACTATAAGAAATCTAAGATGTGTCAAATAAATTATCCAGCTCAGGGCTCCAGCTATGCATTTGGTTTGCTAACTTGCTAGCTAAGTGGCTAGATGTCAAGATCAAGATTCTTGGTTACAGCAGAGACATTCAATCCCCTCCTGGATCAAGATCCCTGTTGCCTAAATTTGTATTTCTTTGTGTGTGTGTTTTTTAAATAGCGCCTTGTGTGCATGCACATTCGGTAATACCCCAGATAGAACTATGAGCCAGATATTTCACCGGATGTATAAATGTGAAGCATCCGGTTGGTGTTTCCACTCATTACCAAATATGGTGATGAGAGGAAGCCCAGATTTTCTCATCGAGAACATTTGATCTCCATACAGTTTCTGTTCCAAACTAAATCTGAACTGATGGACTGCATTTTAGACTTGCCAAATTTGAGTTATTGACACGCACGCTTCACAGAGTAGGCGTTCCCTACAGAAAAGCAAAAAATATAGAACGCTTTCCAATCTCATCGTGGAAACTTTGATCTCCATGCAGTCTGGTTTCTGTTCTCCAAACAAAACTCTGTAACACTACAAGAAGTGGACTGGGGGAACGGCATTTGATAGACCCTTGCGCAATTTGGTTATTTCACACATGCACGCCTCACAGAGTAGCAGTTCCCTGGGATAGAAAGTATGCAAAATAATTATAGGGAAGCTCCAATAGGATCTCACTAGCTCATGCTTGGCTCTGCCCACCTCCTTGCTTGTTCGGCCCACTATGATTAATTTGCTCCCATTGGAAACGATAGGTTCTGGTCTATCTTGGGTTAGTTATAAAAAATCTTTGGTAATACCGTATACCCCAGTACGGTACAAAAACGGTATGACTGTATGAAAATCTGGATACCGCCAAACCCTAGTGCTGCTATGAAAATGTGGCATTAGTTTTTTTTTTCCACACTTGAGCTACATGTGTTGACCAACAAATGAGGTAGGCTAGGTCCATCCAGGAAGTGTGATGTTTTGTCAAAGAATGTTAAATTCACCCTGACTGCGGGCAGAGAAATGATCCTGTGTTTAGTCTGAGGGCATATGTTTACACTGGCATCTCCTTTTGGAGGTTATGTGTGGTAACATTTGGCCTGTGGTCCTGGAGAGCCACGCTGGGCTGGTTTAGTCGTCTTTGGCCTGGGATGAGGAGGATATGTCAGGCTCTTGCTTTGTCTTTTTAAGGGAGGTGGAGCAAGAGAAAAGCAGATCTTGTTCTTTTTACTCATGCAATGTCGTCAGACTATGTCCTTGCTGAGGAATTTACCATGGCAGCCAAGAGCTCTCTGAGCTGCTATCCCTCTCTACATCTTCAGCTGCTGCACAGGGTGCAGGATCTTTAAAGAGCCCTGGGTTTGAAAGAGTTTCAGGTCTACATAAAATAATAGATCATTGTTCTCATTCTCTCATTGCTGAAAAAGCGTATACAAATTCAATGAAGATTGGATCTCCTCTCTCACATACAACACACAGAGATACTTACGGTGCTTGGATCTCCCGCGCTGCTGTCAGACCTGCCCCCTCCACAGTAAACACGCCCCCTCTGAGGGTAATAGGCAGTGGATTGGTGAAGCTGATGTGGGCAATCAATTTCCCAGATACAACTGCATCTCCCACTACCTGGAGCAAGAACATGGACATTGCAGGCATCATCAGAAATGATCATTTCAGTAACAAACAACCTTAAATCAATTGCTCTTGAACATATCCATTCTCATGACCAGTAGTACTCAATTTAAGCATTGCTTCACCAGAGCCATTCCCAGTTCCAGATAGTACCTTGACATGGAGCTGGGGCATGCTCAGTTGGATGTTGACCTCTTGCAGGACGACTTCGGGCTGGCCGCTGGCCTGGAGCAGTGCTGTGACTCTGATCAGGTTATGCTCAGACACACATGCCCCGTAGTGATCGTACCGTAGACGCATAACTTCCTTATGAGCTGTGAGAATAATAGGGATGAGAGGAGAATGTATGTTATTGTATTATTTTCACACTCTTTCCGTGGTATTGTTTTGCACGGTTTACTCGGTTCCTAAACATACAAGAAGACCAGGGATGTTCTAGGTCAGACTGACCCAGTGCCTGTAAACAAAATAAATCAAACACAGGGCTCACACTAGTTCAAAGTTTTCAGTCATGATTCTTGATTCCTATCGTCTATTGCACCATGATAAACTTCACTAAAAAGTTTGATTGTGTGATGGCAGTTGAGGCCCACCTTTCTGGGCTGGCACGGTCAGGCTGGCAGTCTTCCTATGGCACTCCCCACGGTGGAGGCTGTTGTAGGTGACAGCGTTGGACGTCACAGTGAGCTGGGCTGGGGTGTCCTCTCCACCCACGTTGTGCACCTCCACTATCACATCAAAGTCTGTCCCCAGGATAGCCTGGGCGTGTTTGATCTTCAGCTCCAGCTGCCCTGGTCCTCCATTCGGCTGCGTTACCCGCCGTCCTGCCTTCTCATACACCTCACGCTCCTTCACTGAACCTGGTCGAAAGGAAGGAGGATGTCATACTGTTAAATTAACGGTGTGTTCGTGTGGTATGTGTCCATAGTGACACCCTTCCCTTGGGGTATTTGTAGTCTGTAACAGTCTACTGTACTCTTTAGGTCTGTTCCCATCTGTGCTAATATTTGTGCAGGTGTGAATATTACAGTATGTTTGTTTAAAGGAAGGAACTGCATACCTTCGGGGTATTTGTAATGTTTAGTGATGTCCTCTCTGTAGTCTCCGTACACACTCTTGGTGCTGATGTTTTGGCCCACTGTCTTCTGGTTGAGGGAAACTTGTGAGCGTTGGCCATCTGGGTAGACTATCCAGGTGACCAGGTCTGCGTTCACCTCAGAGAACACGAAAGCTGCATCATACTTCATCCCCACATCACCATCCCTCACTGCCTTCACTGGACAGGGCCCACAACAGTACACCCCTGAGAAGGAGGAGATAGAGATGAGGGAAAGAAAAACCACTTGACAGAAAACATATTAAGAAATGTAACTTCCTGTAGTAGCCCAACCATAAAATGTTTGTTTTGAAGGGGCTTAGTAAGACCAAGACTGGTCATGAATATGAAGTGGGACCGTACCATCACTCCTCTCCTGTGGGGTGGGATCCAGAGCTTGCCACCCATCATAGCCTTTAGGAAGATCCTCCCTGTCCATCCATGACTCCACCCAGCAATGGTAGTTCCTACACACACACACACACACACACGTACTATGCTGATTTGAAGCCACCAATTCCATGCATAATTCTAAGATGATATCTAGAAATGAAAGCAACTTATGAAAACTATAGAAATGTAGGTTGTGAGCCTTACCAGATCATGTCCTTCCTGCCTTCAGACACACTCTCCAGCTGCTCGTCGTACATATAGTCCACATTCAGGTTACCATCAGTGTCATGGGCAGAGGAGTAGTTTGTAACTGGGCGAGTGGGTATGCCCAGACAGCGAAGAACTGTGGGATGGGTGAGAGGAAGGAACCAATCAGCAAACAGCATATAGTGTATTTATAGCTTAATATACTGTAGCTGAATGAAATATTTGATAGTGAAAATATAGAACCAGAGAGTGTTCAAAGAGAGAGAGACATCTTGTGTCAGTGTGTTGTCTGCTATGTGTCTCTCACTTGTACAGGCTACTCCTGAGAACACCCAGCACTGTCCGTAGCGCACCCTCTGTGCCCCGGCCTCACTCCAGCGCCTGAGGATGGGCACACTGCCGGTCCAACGTGTGGGCGGCACCCCGTCATCGTACTTCCCGTCCCAACGGCCCGACACCACGCCACGGTCATCATTAGCGTTTACCTGCACATGTGTAGAGTAGGTAGGGTAAGTTAATTACTGTGAGATTATAGCTATTCCCTATGTGTAGAAATAAAGAAGTTATCGGGTGAACCTTACCATTGCAGTAATTGTCCTGCTCACGTACACTGGGTCTGCTCGGTTGGCTGTGTCCATCTCTGGGTTTGTCAGTGCAGCAGGTGAATTGTCCAGGATTTCAAAACAGATGTCCACCACATCTTGTTCAAACTATGAAAAATGACATGAGGGATTAAACGTAAAAATATTATGAGAACGCATTAAGTGAGCTCATGATGACGTAGATACGAATCTCAAACCAGTGTTAAAAATACATACATTGGTGATCGTGACTGTATGCACTTTCCTCCTCACTAGATGGAGACAATAAGCCATGCAGGTTGTCTGTCTCTTTCTCAATTTCTATGTGACTATGTCTCTGTCTCTCTCTCTGAGATGAGACAAACCCATGTTTGAGTGGTTGGCATTTTCACACATCCAGTGTAGAAATGTCTTACATCCACCAAAGATATTTCCTCAGCCAGCTGGTGCACTGTGTCTCCAAATGCCACCAAGCTGTCACAATTCACACAGGCCACCATCAAGCCATCAGACTTGACAGAAACCACTGGGTGCCAACACCCACCCACATGCCCTGTTGTTTATCTTTCTGTTTGAAAACACCTCAGCTAGAACTGTGATTCAGGCTGCACATCACTGAGATCTGGTTCTCATTGGATCGATGGGTTAATAATGTGATCAACAGGTTTGGGCTCTCCATTCTGTCTCAGCTGTGTTGGCTGTCTGTCCTTCAGAAGTGCTGTTTGTTTGCTACCTGTCCAAAGTTCCAGGGCAGTGAGGAGATCTGGTCCCAGGAACCCTGGTAAAGGAGGCCATTTTCATTCAGGATGTACTCCTCTAGCAGCTCCTCATCAGGGAGGTACACAGAATCAGCTGGGAGGGAGAAAAATAAAGACCCAGAGGACACTCTGAGTGAGGCAGTGTGCGAAAACATCTGGGCCAACAGCTTCATTCTCATTGTAGTGATATCACACAACTGACAACTTTCATATAAGCAATCTCTTCCACTAATTTCATATTTTTCTATACATTGTTATAATTTCATGTTCAGCTCAAATTTATTTCAAAGTAATCGCAGGGACGGACACAAATACACAACTGAAGACAGTATCTTCCCTGACTCTGACCTTCTGAGAGTGGCACCACCCTAAGCCCTCCACCTCACCAAAAGAGCAAATAAAACAAGACAGGGTGCAGTGCCACAAAATTGAGCACTATCAATATTTTTTTTACTGATTCAACTAGTGTGTGTGTGCATGTGGACGCAGCGCATGCATGTGTGAGCTCACCTTTGCACCAGGGGTTGAAGAGCAGGTAGAACGTCTCTGGTGTTGTCTGCTCCAGGATGTGTCCGTCAGGGGAGAGGTGCAGCACTGTCATGCTGTAGAGTCCCACAGGGGCGTCTGCTGGGCTGTGGACCGTCAGCAGCACCTCACTCTGAGCCCCCTGCTGGCGGATCCACCACTTGTCACTGCCAGCACGGGCATCCAACACCTTCACCACAACCTCACCCTCCTTACCTAAACACACAAACAAAACCACACATATACTGTACTGTCAGTCAAAGCTGTTTTACCAGATCATTTCATTTTTATATCTGTCAATCATAACTGACTCCTCCTCCCACTGTGCAATAGTATCCACTCTATAGCCGACTTAAGATTATGGTCCTTGTCCTTGAGTTGCTTACCTAGATGCAAGATCATGGCTAGTTTGTGTTTAGGGGGCAGGGTTGTGGAGCACTGCAAGGCGAGGGAGAAGGACTGCCCCCTACGAACCAGCAGCCTTTCCATGTCCATCTCCTCTGTACGATGGGCATGGTTGTTCACCTGGCAACGCAGGTCCATTCCCATGAATACACCTGGAACACAATGAAAGAAAAGACATAGGGTTCAGTCACTTCTAATAAAACCTATTCTACTGTATACTTACACTACCGTTCAAAAGTTTGGGGTCACTTAGAAATGTCCTTGTTTTCGAAAGAAAAGCAATTTTTTTGTACATTAAAATAACATCAAATTGATCAGAAATACAGTGTAGACATTGTTAATGTTGTAAATGGCTATTGTAGCTGAAAACGGCTGATTTTTAATAGAATATCTACATAGGCGTACAGAGACCCATTATCAGCAACCATCAGTCCTGTGTTCCAATGGCACTAACCAGAATAGAAAAAGGAGTGGGAGGCCCCGGTGCACAACTGAGCAAGAGGACAAATACATTAGTGTCTAGTTTGAGAAACAGACGCCTCACAGGTCCTCAACTGGCAGCTTCATTAAATAGTACCCGCAAAACACCAGTCTCAACGTCAACAGTGAAGAGGCGACTCCGGGATGCTGACCTTCTAGGCAGAGTTGCAAAGAAAAAGCCATATCTCAGACTGCCCATCTTCATCTTTTATTTTTATTGGCCAGTCTGAGATATGGCTTTTTCTTTGCAACTCTGCCTAGAAGGTCAGCATCCCGGAGACGCCTCTTCACTGTTGACGTTGAGACTGGTGTTTTGCGGGTACTATTTAATGAAGCTGCCAGTTGAGGACCTGTGAGGCGTCTGTTTCTCAAACTAGACACTAATGTATTTGTCCTCTTGCTCAGTTCGAACCCACAATTGCTGATGCTCCAGATACTCAACTAGTCTCAAGAAGGCCAGTTTTATTGCTTCTTTAATCAGCACAACAGTTTTCAGCTGTGCTAACATAATTGCAAAAGGGTTTTCTAATGATCAATTAGCCTTTTAAAATGATAAACTTGGATTAGCAAATACAATGTGCCATTGGAACACAGGACTGATGGTTGCTGATAATGGTCCTCTGAACACCTATGTAGATATTCCATTAAAATCAGCAGTTTCCAGCTGCAATAGCGATTTACAACATTAACAATGTCTACACTGTATTTCTGATCAATTTGCTGTTATTTTAATGGACCAAAAATTGCTTTTCTTTCTGAAAACAAGGACTTTTCTAAGTGACCCCAAACTTTTGAACGGTAGTGTATAAATAATGAATTCAAGAGGAAATCTTAGGGGGTAACCAGACCACACTTGTACTATTACTTTTGTAGATACTAATATTTCTAGACAGATCTCTAGTTTAGTCATATCAATCACAATGGTCCCATGTTGTACAGGTCAAACCACAGAAAAGTCAGACAAGTCATCAATTGGAGCCTGACTATCAGTGTGAGTCACAAAGTCAAGGACCCCACTTCATATTTATAGAATCTACTGTAGGTAGGCAACTCCACTCAAGCATGATGCATGAAAACATTAACATTGCTGTTTTGATATTAAAAGGTTATGACAATGATTGCCAGAAATGGATGTTACTACTATATTGTAACAGTAGTGTGGGAGAAAACATTTTTTTTGAAAACAGAGGTGAAAAGTTTGATACTTTTTGCTTTATAAACCATCAAGTAATAAATAAGTATAGCCCTGGTTTGCCAGGTCAGATTGGTTGGCACAAAAGAGACCAATCTAAGCCATCAAACTGAAGTCATCCTTCAGCCATTCCTGAGGTTAGACACAGTTGAGTGCCATATACTATGATCACACACAGAGACAGAGACACAGACAGAGACAGACCAACTTAAATATTAGACTAGGAGAAACACAGATCTACTATATATTATGTTTAAATTGAGAAATGTACACATTTCAGGATCAACTTTGTCAGATAACACCTCTGCTCCATCCTCATATTTGTATGATTAGTGCATACGAGCCTGTTGGTCTCTTACTCTCCTGGTATGCATTGCTTAAATTAGATTGAGTGACCTTAACACACTGCTGTGAATTCATCCGGCAGCACACTTTTCACAGATATGAAAATTGCTTGTAATATTTGTCTCCTCTACTTCGGAGGGCACTACCAATGGTTTAAAAAATATGTGAAATAATTATAAATCACTTACCGTTTTGGTCAGCCATTCTCCACTCTTTGTGGTGAACAAGTCCTCTGTGAATCTTCTCTTCTCTAAGTGTAACCTCCTTTTATGATAAGTTTGATTCCTCTTTTGTCTTTTCACACAGTCCTGAAGGTGTATGCCTCACTTTTCTACCCCTGTCTCCACCAGGTCCCAGTATTTATACTGGAGAGGAATGGCCCTGTCCCAGTGCTCCAACACACATGTTCACACATACACACCTCCCATTCACTGTTCTCCCTGACCTCTGACATCACACTCTGTGGAGATCCAGAACAGAGGTGTACCCACAGTCTGTGTGTGTGTGTACGTGCATGATTGGATGTGTGCCCACGCGTGCGTGTGTATACGTGCTTGAATTGGGAAGCACAAGCTTTGCCTACTTCAATATTTTACTTACACAGAAAAAAGCATTAGAGCCCAAGTATTTACTATAGTTTGTGTCAGCCGTGTGCGGGAACCTTTTTCTCCCCCTGTGATCTAAGCTCAGACACTGGGTTCTTTGTTAAGCGGATAAAGGGTTCAGGGCATGGGGCACACTTTTACTCCAACAGTTTTCCAGTAAATGTTTTGTATCATATACAATTTCCTGTTTCACAGTCTATGGCACATACATGTTCCCTTTTTTTCTTTCTGTTTGGAGCTTAAAGTCACCAATTACAAAACATACAAGTTGAATAAGTTTACAGCATGATATACTTGAGAAGGAAAATACGATTTTGTTCCAAGATTTTATTCATATGAATTGCAGTCCAGGACATTGACTGGAGCTATTTTTCCTGGCAAAATAATCAAACCCAAGCTGGTTTTAAATCAAAAGTTAAAAATCCATTTAAACAAATGTTTAACATCAATTATAGGACATCGATTACACATCCACTACAGTGAAAGCTGGAGGGGTATTTCTACTGAAATTATGTGAAAAGTGGGAAGGGTATTTCTACTGAAATGCATGATGTTGAAGTATCATAGCGGTCATCTTTTTAGTTATCCAAATGATGTCTCTATGTCCCAATGTTAAAGAAAAGTAGTAAAAGCAAGAAGGGATATTTTTATACTGGAATGCATGGTGTTGAAATATCATCTCATCTATCATCTGCCGTTCAATGTCATGTCATGAGGGTCAACACTCCAAGTTCAAGTCGAGGATCAAGTTATACAATTTGTGAGACTCAACTCAAGTGCAAGTCATAGGATTCAAGTCCACCATTCTATTACTAATATACAATATAGTAATACGATATAATAGAGTACCTTCTGAGTGTGTACATGCTCACAATCAGCTGTACATATTAGGCTGTGTGAAGTTACAGTTTATGAGTAATGGAATGGTGAGTGAGTAAGAGGTATCTGTGTTTTCCAGCCAGACCGTGTGTCAGGAAGACATGTTCCCATAGAGGAGTAAGGAGACACACTACAAGAGAAAGAATATGAGGGACATTTCTTCATCACCATGATAGCACCAGGCCCCCTTGCTACAGTGTGTGACATATTTGGTGAATTCTCAGTGACTATAAATAAGAAATGAGGCCTATGGTATTGTGTGAGTGGAAAGTGGAGGGAACAATAACATCTCTAACAATAACATCTCTAATCACTTTGATGGCAGCAGATTCCCACTGTGCTGTTACATTGCTTGGGTGGTGCTTGCTTTTGCTGACAACCCGGTGATCACTCTGCCGCACCCAAAAGAGAGAGAGAAGTGTGTTAGACACTAAACTGAGGAATGCTGTGACAGTAAGATTTCGGGAAAATGGGGTGTCCACCACCCACAGAACGTCTTCCACATAGCACCTAGGTGACGATGATTTGACAAGCTTCTTGACAGTTGACCAGTATGACCAGTCACACCACTACTATGTGACTCCCTTCTTGGGAGGTCAGTGAGGATATGAAAACAAGATGGCAGGCTGTAAAGGTCAGGTCTGGGGTATAGTGATATACGGTCAGTAGGTGGATAAGCCAAGTTTTAATAAAATAATCACTGGTCCAAATGTTCACACCAGGGGAGCTAGTAACTCTCCACAGACCGTCACTGAAACAATCTTTTATCCTATTTTGCCCTCTCACGCTTGTGCAAACGCTGAGACATAAATACTCTCCTTCTGACAGAGCGGGAGCATTTTTGGAGCATAGCCCGTCCTACCTGGGGACTGAGGCAGCATTGCTGCCTGTAGGCTGGTTGTGTAGACATACAGGGCAGGGACAACTCAGATCGAGTTACTTCCTGAAATTACACCACAGGTGAGTCATGAATACCCTCTTTCACTACAACAGTAACACTGAAGTAAGGACTGTGAGCAGTGGCGGTTCTAGACACATTTTACTAGGGGGGCCAAGGAGGGGCCAGTGTTTAATCAGGGGGGCACACATAAAAAAACTGGCAACACATGATATTCAAAGATTATAAACTTTATTTTACTTTAAAATCATATGACATTTATTATAACACGTATTTTGTACAAGAGTGCAGATGCAAGAGAGATAGTGCCATAAAAATGAAAAAAAAAAAAAGTACAGGGTACAAATACAGGGTTCATATTCAATGTGAACAAAACTCCAGGATACAACAAAGGGTACAACAATGTGCCATTTCCTATTTATGGAAGCCCCACTACTGTGGACAGTTGATTCCACATTTTGTTTTAAGAAAGAAAACTTTCTGAGTGATTTATAAACAAAACACACTACCCTGTATCCATTTAGGTAAAATAAACCAAATCAGAAAATAAATTCAATTCAAAGAGGCTTTACTAGCATGACCATATTGACATACAGTATTGCTAAAGCACATAAACAGGGAAACGTGTTACACATTAACATCCAGTAGTCCAATAGGATGCAGACAATAAACATTAAGTTAACATTCGTTTAAAAGCAACAATCATGTCAACACAATGTAGCAATATGAACAACACTGA